AGAAAAACAGTTGCAGAACAGAGAATAAGATTTGTCATATTGATGGTTTCGGGAATATTGTGACCTGACCTGTGTGGATAGCTGCGAGAACAAAGGATTCCTACACTAAGAAGTCTGAAAAAACCAACAAAGACCCTTTCTCACCTTGTCTTTGAAAATGGCTTGCTGAGACCCTTCTAGGAGTTTGGAGTTTTGGAGGCACAAGTCATCCATCTCCTCGGGGCTTCCTAGGTGGCATCAGTGGCAAAGAACCTGCCTACCAAAGCAGGAGATGCAAGAGACACTGGTTTGATCCCTAGGAAGATCCCCTGGAACAGGAAATGCCAAACTGCTCCAGTATTCTTGCCTGGACAATTCCGGGACAGACGAGCCTGGTGGGCTATAGTCCATGGGATTGCAAAGAGTGGGACACGACTGAGTGACTGAGTGTGCATGCATGTGCGCACACGCACTCCCATCTCCTTGCATGGCCCTGCAATAAAGCTTTCTCTGCTCCAAACACTGATATCTCGGTTTGCTTGACCTCACTATACCTTGAGCACATGAACCTGTGCTCAATGGGCAAGTCTTTGCAATTCTGTCAATATTTCTATGTGTTCTACCTTTCCCCGTGTTTTGTGGAAACTCTTCTTTCCTGGTTTCCGAGGTTTGCAATGTCACTCTTTGCCCTGAGCCCAGGAGTTTTCCACAAACAGAGGGACGATTCAAACTGCTTAACTATGCTGGTACCTACTGCTGACCTGGGGCTTTACATTTTAATGTCATTTTTACAACGCTTCCTCCCATTCTAATGTTATCTTAATCGTTTTACAGAATAGAAAGCTGAGGTTCAGAAGTTAAAGAACTCATCTAAAATGAAACCAGGATAGAAACTCAGGCCTGTCAGACTCTAAATCTTTATGATCCACTTTAACGCAGAGAAAGTGAACTAGAAAATCAGATAGTAGTGATATCTGACAACAGATATGGTAGAAAGCCTGTATCAGCAACAATTATGGGCAGTGTAAGGGAGTTAATAATGAAATAAATTCAGGTGTTTTGTAGAGGGCTCTCCATAGTTTAAGAAAAAGTTGTATGTGTGGTATAACACAGTGGTTAAGAGCATATACTCTGGAGCTAGGTGGCCCAGTTTCAAATCCTATCTCTGCCACTTCCTGGCTGTGTGACTTTGAGCAAGTTACTCAACCTCTCTGTGCCTCAGTTTTCTCACCTACAAGGTGGGGATTAAAAATAACACACATTTCAGTAGGTCAGACAGAGAAAGATAAATATCATATATAACTTACATGTGGAATCTAAAAAAGGGTACAAATGAATTTACCTACAAAACAGAAACAGAGTTACAGATGTAGAAAACAAATTTATAGTTATCAGGTAGTAAGGCAGGGGAGGGATATGTTGGAAGATTGGGGTTGACACATACATACTACTAAATATAAAATAGATAACATAAGGATCTACTGCATAGCATATGGAACTTTACTCCATACTCTGTAATGGCCTATATGGGCGAAGAACCAAAAAAGAGTGAATATATGTATGTGGAAAACAGATTTATTTTGGTGTATACCTGAAACGAATACAACATTGTCAACCAGCTGTCAGTTCAGTTCAGTCGCTCAGTCCTGTTCTGACTCTATGAAACCCCATGGACTGTAGCCCGCCAGGCTGCCTGGTCCATGGGGATTCTCCAGGCAAGAATACTGGAGGGGGTTGCCATGTCCTCTTCCAGAGGAGGGATACTCAGTTCAGTCCAGTCGCTCAGTCGTGTCTGACTCTTTGCAACCTCAGGGACTGCAGCACACCAGGCTTTCTTGTCCATCACCAACTCTCGGAACTTGCTCAAACTTATGTCCATCAAGTTGGCGATGCCATCCAACCATCTCATCCTCTGTCATTCCCCACTCTTCCTGCCTCAGTCTTGCCCAGCATCAGGGTCTTTTCCAATGAGTCAGTTCTTTGCATCAGGTGGCTAAAGTATTGCAGTTTCAGCTTCAGCATCAGTTCTTCCAATGAATATTGGTGTATGTACTCCTTTCCCAATTTGGAACCAGTCTGTTGTTCCATGTCCGGTTCTAACTGTTGCTTCTTGACCTGCATACAGATTTCTCAGGAGGCAGGTCAGGTGGTCTGGCATTCCCATCTCTTGATGAATTTTCCACAGTTTGTTGTGATCCACACAGTCAAAGACTTTAGTGTAGTCAATGAAGCAGAAGTAGATGTTTTTCTGGAATTCTCTTGCTTTTTGTGTGATTCAGCAGATGTTGGCAATTTGATCTCTGGTTCCTCTGCCTTTCCTAAATCCAACTTGAACACCTGGAGTTCTTGGTTCATGGACTGTTGAAGCCTAGCTTGAAGAATTTTGAGCATTAGTTTGCTAGTGTGTGAAATCACTCCAAAAAAAAAAAAAGTCCAGTTTCAACCGCCCCCCCCCCTCAAATTTCAGTGGGTTGTTGTAATGATTGAAGAAGGTAGTATTTGTAAAGCAATAGAACATTGCCTTGTACATGGTAAACACTATAAAAGTTTATCATTACTATCATTATGATTGTATGTGGTCTTTACTGTTACTCCCATTTTATAGGTGAGGAAAAGGTTAAGCAACTCACCTACGATCATGGAGTGAGTTAGTGATAGACTTGGACCACAATCTGGGTCTCTACCATCCTGTCCAGGGGTTTCCCACTCCTAGCACTGCCTCCCAACTTCACTAAATAGAAGCAGAGGGGTTGCTGCAGGCCTTGGAATGTCTATTGCAAGAAAAGACAGGGTCAGGCATAATTCACGTTCTTTCTGAGAATAAAAGGGGGATCTGTAGAGGAGGAATTTCAGGAACTTCAGAGAAGCATGTGAAACATTCCACAACAGTTCAGTCCAATTCTGTTTCATGAGCTTTTTCTAGCACGGGAATCCATCTTTCCAATCTACTCTTCTTTCTTTCCATCTCATACTCAGGATCTTATCACCATCATCTGTCTTTGGATAGCTACAGGAATTTCCTGCCTGGCATCCCACCTTCAATCCATTCTCCTAACTAAAGCCAAAGATATATTTTAAAGGTACGCCTACTCATGTCAGTTCTGGATGAAAATGCTCAGTGGCTCCCCACGGCTCTAAGGACTTGGGCTAAACCCTTTCATCTAGCCTGCAAGGCTGGGCTCAGAACTGACCCATCCTTTCATTTCCTATCTCATAACTCAAGTTCTGGGCTCCTTGGTCAAATTAAATTTCCTTCAGTTCCCAAAATAGAGCTCTGGTGTTGGACACAGGATCCCCTCTCTTTTAACCGTCTTCGTCTGGCCAAGTCTTACTGATCCTGTGAGTTTCAGCCCAGAATGCAGCTCCTCTGGGAAACCTTTTTGCGTTTTTCACCCCACTTGTTGCACTCTTGATAACATGGGTCGCAGAGCGTGGGGACCGCTGTATCCCCGCCTGTGCCTCTCACTGGGGTCTGGGCTTCTTGAGGACAGCAGCCGTGCCTCTTTGAGTCAGTGCTACACCTGCATCGAACACAAGAGCTGAAGCGAAATATGTAGTTGAAACTGAGGAAACAGAGGCTGTTCCCAAAGGGGAACTTGTAGGTAGAGTGAGAAAACAAAATTATGAAGGGCAGAAACTTCAGGAACATTTCCAGAAATGGTGAAAGAGGCTGTTTGGAGGGTCAAGAGGTAGACAACACTGTGGCAACACCTGTGGGAAGAGACAGCATTAAGAAAGAGAGCCCGGGATGAGGTAGGAGAAGGATTCTGCAGGGGAGAGGCGATTACTGACGGAGTTAGCTTTTAGGGGAGCCAGATGTGGATTAGGGTTACCCAGCTACTTTGGTTTGCCTGGTACTGTCCCTGTTTTAAAATCGAAAGTCGTTCAGGCAAACCTAGAGTGGTGGCCTTAGGATGGAATCCCGGTTAGTAGAGGAGCTACTGGTTCTGGACAGGGCTACTTCTCTCTGAGTCACGAGAGAAGGCAGAGAAGGAGAGAAGGGCCGGATTAAATCAAGGGTGTGGGCTGAGCCATCAGGCTTCCCTGGTTGCTCAGATAGTAAAGAGTTCAGTCGCTTAGTCGTGTCTGACTCTTTGGGGCCCCATGGACTGCAGCACGCCAGGCCTCCCTGTCCGTCACCAAATCCCAGAGTTTACTCAAACTCGTGTCCATTGAGTTGGTGATGCCATCCAACCATCTCACCCCTTCTGCTCCTGCCTTCGATCTTTCCCAGCATCAGGGTCTTTTCCAATGAGTCAGATCTTCCCATCAGGTGGCCAAAGTATTGGAGCTTCAGCTTCAGCATCAGTCCTTCAATGAACACTCAGGACTGATCTCCTTTAGCATGGACTGGTTGGATCTCCTTGCAGTCCAAGGGACTCTCAAGAGTCTTCTCCAACACCACAGTTCAAAAGCATCAATTCTTCGGCGCTCAGCTTTAAGATAGCAAAGAATCTGCCTGCTATGTGGGAGACCCAGGTTCCCTCCCTGGGTTGGGAAGATCCCCCTGGAGAAGGGAATGGCAACCCACTCCAGTACTCTTGGCTGGAGAATCTCATGGACGGAGGAGCCGGGTAGACTACAGTCCATGGAGTCGCAGAGTCGGACACGACTGAGCGACTTAATTATTTATTGTTCCTATAGGCTTTGGAACCAACGCTCTCTCTGACCTTCCCCCATTCTGTTCTTTCCGGTCCCAGCGGCGCCGCACTTGGAGGACCGTTCACCGCTAGGGGGCGGAGCGGCGCCAACAGACATGGGTGCCCCTCTAGCTCTCCCCAGAGAGCTCTCTATGGCGCTTGTCAGCCCGGTCCGAGGGGGCGGGGTCCCGTCACGTGACCGAGGTGCCTCTCCCTCTCCGCCCCGCCCCCCGCCCTCAAGCCGGCGCAGGCGCGGTGTTCGCGTCGCCGTCGCTGGGCTCCGTAGCCCGCGCCGCTTCGCCTGCTTCGGCCCCTGAGGCGGCCGCCCCGGCGGTCCTGCGGCTCTTTCTCCTGCGGCTGCGGGCCGCGGGGGCCGAGGCCATGTCCCGGAAGCAGGCCGCCAAGGGCCGGCCGGGCAGCGGCAGCCGCAAAGCCGAGGCCGAGCGCAAGCGGGACGAGCGGGCCGCGCGCCGGGCCCTGGCCAAGGAACGGCGGAACCGGCCGGAGTCCGGCGGCGGCGGGGGCTGCGAGGAGGAGTTCGTCAGTTTCGCCAACCAGCTGCAGGCCCTGGGGCTGAAGCTGCGGGAGGTGCCGGGGGACGGGTGAGGCGGGCCCGGGAGCCCGGGGTCGGGGGGCGGCGCCGCGGTTCGCGCCGGGGCTTGGCGACCGTCTCCGTGCGTCGGCGGAGCGCGGGACGAGCGCGAGCCCGCCAGGCGCCTTCTCTCGAGAAGCTCGAGGCGTCCCCAGTGGTCCTCGTCGTGGCGAACTGTATGGGGTCCTGACAGAGAATAGTGGAGCAGGTCTTCCTTAGATCGGTGCCCGGGAGGCCCTCCCCCCCGCCAAAAAAAGGTGACTCTTAAGCCGAGACCTGAGGGAATGAGATGGAGCCAGTCATCCCCCACCCCCAAAAGGTGACTTTTAAGCCAAGACCTGAAGGAATGAGATGGGAGCCAGTCACCCCCCCCCCCCCCCCCACAAAAAAAGGTGACTTTTAGGCCGAGACCTGAGGGAATGAGATGGAGCCAGCCAGTCAGAGAGCAGGGCCGTGCGAAGAGCTGTCACAATTATGGTCAGAGAGACGCAAGGAGGTGTAAGCCCCACTTGACAGGACGCTCGGACTCCTTTGAGCCGTTACTGTTGGGTATTGCCCTCCTGCCACACTCGGCAAATTAGGTCTGCGAGGGCCTGTTGTTTGCTAAGTTGAAGGCAGCTTTTCTTAATTCTTCCTTGCATGGACTTCAGTTTCTCCTCTGAAGCAGTGGCGCTTACCCAGGGTTGCTTGAGGGGTTTAGACAGGAATCTAAGTCCAACTTCGTAGGTCCAGCTTTTTAAAAAGAGCTCGGGGTAAACGGGGTATAGGAGGGAGAGAATGGATAATGGGAAGGAAAAATGACCCCAGGAAGAGGGATATGGATCCAGGAGTGTGGAGGAAAGAAGAAAAAGGGTAGGGAGAGGGGAGGAGATCAGTTAGCAGCCGCATTGTGGGGGTAGGTAAAAGGGAGTCTGGTTGCCGGAGTGTGGCACTGTGTAAGAGGTAGTATTAATAACAGCCTGGCTATTGTTTCTTCCTTCATCTGGGGGTTCAGGTAGGCCAAGAGGCAAGAATAAGATGAAGCTAAAGACCATACAGAATTGCCTTAGCCTTAAGCGTGGAAGAGGGGCAGGAAAATGTTTTTTGGATTACATTATGTCTCACCTTATTAATCAAGACTGTTTATTACCTGGCCTTAAATTACCTTTCCCAGTTTTCCTACATGTGTGCAGTGTTTTAGGCAGATTGGATTTAGAGCTTGATTGCAATTTATTCGCCACCACCTAACACAGTGCCTGGTACATTAAAGGCATTCAGTGCATTTTTGTTGAATAAATGATGATAAGAATATCATAGAGGAAGGCCACCTAGGCCCTTAGCAGGGCCCCTCAAAGAGGTGTTTTCTTACTGGAGTTGCTACAGTTACAAGGTTGCTTTGCTGGGTCTTGCTTTTAGCCTAATACCTTGATTTTTGTCAAATATAGTTTATTAAATAAACTATTAAATAAATTAAATGAGTGGACATTAGCCACTCGTAAGCACAAGACATTGGTACATAAACTGAAGTACCAGTTGAATTTGGTGGGACTGAGCTGGAGTCTGACTCTTCCTCACAAATGGTTGCATTGCTTGTGTCCGCTATGCTGGCGATGGTATTCCCACTGTCAGTGTGTTCAGGACACTGACATCCTCAGCAGAAGGTCGCTTGTGAGCAGGAGTTGCAGCACAGGGAGCTCTGAAATCTTGAGGGAGTTTTCATAGTGCTGTGGGAAACTTTGGGAGTGCTGCTTCTGTTCCCCTGCCCCTGAAGAGAGCATATTTCTTTAGTTAATTCCGCAAACATTGGTTGAGGAAGATGCTGGGAGCACATTGCCTAGTAAGAGAGGAACAGGACAGCAGGCCTCACACATTCTGGTCTTAGGGTCCCTTCATGCTCTTAAAAATGAATGAGGACTCCAAAGAGCTTTGGCTTATATGGATTATAGTTATCAATATTTACTGTATGAGAAAGTAAAATAAAGTAAAAACATGCTACAAAAACACGTTATATTAGCTTTCAGTGATAACATCAGATATCATGTATCAGGTAGCCTCTAGAAAACTCCACTGTACACTGTGAGAGAATTAAGAGTGAAAAGGATAACTAACATTAATTTTGGAGTCTGAACTCTGAAAAGGTCTCAGAGACACCCTCCCTTCCCAAACTGGGCCATACTTTAAGAATGAATGGTATAAATAATTAAAATACAAGTTAATATATTCTTTACAGTGACTGATTATAGTGTACTATTGAGAAAGAAGCAGCCTACACTCCCTGAAGTGGCCGGGGAAACTGCGTTCATTCAACACATGTTCATCGAAACCTACTCTGTGTTAGATGCCTCAGAGAAGGTCATTCTTAGACTGGGTCATGAAGGGCCAATAAAAATATGCCAAGAGAGCATCCCAGACTGAGTAGTAACATGTGTAAAGGCGCAGGAGCACTTTATTTTTGAGAGATCTGCAGATTGTTGAGCATGACAAGGCTGGGGGCCAGCTTGACTGCAGTGCTCATGTCTGACCCTTCTGGCGTCCCTGTTCTTTGGGCAGTGTTAGGTGAAATGATAATGGTAATTCCTCCTCTGTGGGCCCCATGAAGGGAACCCCTTTTCACTCACAAGTTCTTCCCATGGGTGCCATGCAGTGGGCTGCTCAGTCCTCTTTAGTATTTGATCACTTTTGGATATGGTGAAGACAGGCTTATCACTGTGCAGTGGATGGTGCTTCCTGTGTATGTTACGGGTTAGCAGATATCAATGGATTATTTTGTTGATATTTCTTGAGTACTCTTGGTGAAATATGAAGTTAGGTAATGAAAAAATAATCAAGTCTCCACTCTTCTGACTTTCCATCCTGGTCTGATAAGAATATTGAATAGCCTGAGATAGTATCTCGCTATATAAGTGTACTCATTGTTGGCATTTGTAGCATACAGGAACCTTTGGGTGCTTGGGCATAAACCAGCTGGTATTCCGCAATGTAGCCTTTATAGGAGCTGGATCAGTGTAGCATGGGTTAATCAGGGAGCTGCTTGTGGGGTGTTGTAATGCTTCATGGGCCACCTTCATATTTATTGTGTTGTCCGGAGGGTGGGCCCACATAAATTGGATTCAGTTTCAAAACAGGAAATATTTTAACCTTGATGGGGTCCTTAAAAACATGATTGAATGTAGCATAAATAGAATCTCTAATTGGATTAGGCAGTACAATACTAACATTTCTGTGAACTATATCCGGTTGTATCTTCCTAAATGTAGCCTCAAATTACAGGACTAACTAGTAATGTTCTAATATTAAAGCATTAAAGAATCATTAATTTTAGCTACTTATTTCTGTCTTAGACAAGTTGTTTTATTTTTAAAGTTTTACCTGATTTTTTAAATTGTAGGATTTTAGTGACAGAAGTGTATCCACAATATCCATTAGTTCCTGCATCACCTGTACAGCAGCCTCATCTCTTGGGTCTTGCTCAGTGGTTTTCCACCTTGGTGGCACAATGGAATCACTTGGGGAACTTTGGAAAAAATACAGTGAATGGACTCTGCCCCAGATCAGCCACGCCAGAATTTCAGGCAGTGGGGTCTGGTTGTGGATAATTGGGAAAAAAAAGTCCACATGTGATTGTAAAGTGCAGTTTAATTGTGAACTGCTGATTTAGAGTCTAGATCCTAGTGTTGCTCAAACTTTAGCATAAAACAGAATCACCTGGAGGGCTAATTAAATCCTTGGAGAGACTAGATTGCTGGGTCCCAACCCCAGAGAGTTTGACTCAGCAGGCCTGGGGTGGAGGGCTCGGAATTTTCATTTTGAACAAGTTCTCAGGCGGTGCTCAAGTTGCTAGTCAGAGATCACACTTTGAGAGTCAGTGATTGAGCCCATCACTGCCTGATTGAAGTCAGAACCACATGTATAATTGGAAAATTTTTCAGTAATATTAAAAAAGTAAAATGAAACAGATGAAATTAATTTTAGTATATATGGCAAGTTACTGTACCTAAAATATCATTTCAACATATAGTCAGTGTAACAAATTTTAATGAGATACTTTACATTTTAAAAATACTGTTCAAAATCCAGTATTCTACACTTACAACACACATGCATTTGGATTAACCACATTTCAAGTGCTTAGTAACCACCTGTGGATAGTGGCAACCATATTGTATAGCACATAAGTGGACAGTTCCTTAGGCTTGACAATCGAAATGTACAGAATCCTGTACATTTCTGTGCAGTCTGTCTGTATAAAACTAACACAAAGTTGCCTTCTGTTTGTCTTTGTAGCTTCCTTGTTTTGGTTTTAGTTTTATTGTAAAAGGATAACATCCCTTTCACCATGATGGACTGTTGGAGGCCGCTCTCATGTCCCCTGGAGCCTTCTTCAGGCTGAAGGTCCTAGGTTTAAAGCCGCATCACCTCACTTGAACATACCTTAAAATGTACTGATCAGAATTATATCTAGTACTCTAGCAGTGGTCTGACCTCAAAAGTGAAAGTCACTCAGTCGTGTCGAACTTTTTGCGACCCCGTGGACCATACAGTCCATGAAATTCTTCAGGTCAGAATACTGAAGTGGGTAGCCATTCTGTTTTCCAAGGCACCTTCCCAACCCAGGGATCGAACCCAGGTCTCCCACATTGGAACCCAGGTCTCCCACATTGCAGGTGGATTCTTTACCAGCTGAGCCACCACAGAAGCCCAAGAATACTGGGGTGGGTAGACTATCCCGTCTCCAGCGGATCTTCCTGACCCAGGAGTCGGACCGGGGTTTCTGGCATTGGAGGTAGATTCTTTACCAGCTGAGCTACAAGGGAACAAAACCTGACCTGCCGCCCATTTTTCTGCATATTGTGCTATTACTGCACCCTTTTTGTGTGTTAAGTCTCTTCAGTCATGTCTAACTCTTCAAACCTATAGACTATAGCCCACCAGGCTCTCCTGTCCATGGGATTCTCCAGGCAAGAATACTGGAGTGGGTTGCCATTTCCTCCTCCAGGGGCTCTTCCCAACTAAGGAATGGAACCCGTGTCTCTTCTGTCTCCTGCGTTGGCAGACGGGTTCTTCACCACTAGTGCCACTTGGGAAGCCCAACTGCACTCTAAGAGCCCATTAATTATTTTCATGTCTATGTTGTAATGTTGTCTCATGCTAAATTATTGAGCATCCAAAGCCCTTGGATGCTACTTGTATAATTGATGACTTTTGTATGTGTATCTGTAGGGATAGCGACGTGGTTCTGAAGTGGGGAGGACAACGGCTGGAAATATTTTTGGCTGTCACAACTGGCATGGAGAGCCGTGGTAGTGGTGCACCGGCATCTAGTCGTTAGAGGTCAGAGGTGCTGCTGAGCATCTTCCAGAGCGTGGGGCAAAGGGTTGTCCAGAATATCAGCAGTGTGAGGGCGGAGCAGCACTGCTCTAGTGTAGTAGGTGAGGGCGTGGGCCCAGAAAACAGCTGGGGTCTCCTGAAGGCCCTTCGGCCACTGGCCGCCGTGTTCTCATGAGGATGGTGAGTGCTTTTCCTGGCTTCCTTAAGAGAACCCAGGTCATTTGTAGTGTTTGTTCACATTTCCTGTTTCATTGCCTTGAAACTGTTAGAAAAGGAAGTGATTCATCTATCTTGATTTTTCATTTTGACTATTTTTAGTGAGCTCAAGGAAATTTTTTTAAATATAGAAAAGTATATTTAATAAGTTTGACACTTACTCCTAACTCCACTACCCAGGGATAACTTCACTAACATTTTGGTGCCTGGCATTGAATCCTGGATGCACCACCTACTGATTTTGTGACCTTTGGCACCTTACCATAGGGGAATAGTCACTGTGCCTGTCTCATAGAGCTAACTGTAAGGATTAAATGCTTTTAATACACGTAAAGTGTTTGGAACAGCCCTTGGCACATTGTCAGAGCTGCTTAAGTGATGGTTGCAGTGCTTTCTCCTTGCATACATTTGTATGTGTTTCTGCATTTGTGTACATAGTATGCAGATGAACATGGTCGAGCTTATGCAGTGTACACAGTTTTATACCTACTTTTTTGACTTGTGTGTGGAATATTTGCCCCTGTTACTGAAAGTTCTTAGAAAACATGTTACTTTGTGTAGAACACCATGAATTTTGAGATATCAAATGTAAAATAACTTCGTATGTAATTTTTTGCCAAATCGTACCTCTTAAATGGAATTTAGGAGTAAACTAGTAGTAGCAGTTGGTAAAGGTTTAAGAAAAGTTTGAGAGAGAAGCTTAAAATTGAGAACATCTTATCCATTGGCTTCCTTTTTTCCCCCTGTGGTTGAAAAAGACCACCATTGTTAGATTTTAGTAACACACCCCTCATTCTAGTGTGTAGAACTGTTATGTTCCAGTCTCTTCTAGAATGTTGCCCCAGATAGATGCAGAGTTTCTTGGATTCTTTTGTTTATAGAATCTGTTGCCTTTTAAATCTCCCTCCCCACCCCCCACCCCCCCAAATTCTTATATGTTTGAAGAGATTCCTGCCTTTCCAACTTTCTGTTGAAAGCTCACTTTTCTAAGTTGAAAATAAAAAAAAAACTCCATCACCAAGCACGTAGGTCTAAAGTCCTTTGAGAAGTGATGAGTTTATATTTTGGAATTAGAATGTCATAGATTTTCATTTGGAAGAGTAAACAGTTTAATGTGAAAGTGGGCATCTGTTTGGCTTCAGAACATCCTTGCCTTAGTTTTGAGGATGCCAGATTGGTTTCAGTCTCTGTGGATCAGGGCTCTGTGTTTGTGATATAGTTCGGAATTTTAGAGGCTGTTAAGGGGTGTGAAAGTAAACTCTTAAAATTTACTACCAGCATTTTAACTTTAGGAAGAAAACACAAGGAAAAGTAGGAGAATTTTGATTTGGCAGAAGTGGAAGCAGCACTGTGGCTCCTTGAGTGCGAGGAGAGGTGCTGAGGAGGGAGAGTGTCCTCCCTGCGGGCTGTCCCAGCGCTTTCCTTCCCGCGCCTTTCTCAGCTGCGTCCTCAGGACTCGAAACAGGATGTGAGGTTTGATTGCTTCTATTGGGAGCTTGGCACATGGCTATGTTTTTGATACTTGTTAGGTGAATGGTTAGTTAGCTGGGAAGTCATAGTGGAAGAGCTTTCAGAAAAGAGGTCGTAGATACGATTTAGCATTTTGGAAGGAGGTCTGGGCGTCATGGATCGCCCTTGGGTGTGGAGTGGTCCATAGTGTCTGGACCCTGTCTTCACGTGGTTAGTAAATCACCAACTCCACTTGTTGAAGCAGTGGAGGCTCAGAGAAGTTCAGTATCTTTCCTGAGTCAGCCAGCTCGTAAGTGGGGAATAGGCTTCTTGTCTGTTGCCTCTCAAGAAGGTAATGTGGTTGAATGTCTTCCCTAGTGCTCTGCTGCCCCTGGTATCTGGGAACAATCCTGGACAGTCAGAGAGTTGAAGCTGTATCTCTTCTCTGTGTGAAAGGTTTCCTTGGATGGCCTGCCATGAAGCATCATTGTTTTGGATGAACTAAGTTCATTTGTAAAAGGTCTTGACCAGCATTTTGTTTTGACAGCAATTGCCTGTTCAGAGCCCTTGGGGACCAGTTGGAAGGACACTCACGGAACCATCTCCGGCACCGACAGGAGACGGTGGATTACATGGTGAAGCAGCGGGAGGACTTTGAGCCCTTTGTGGAGGACGACGTTCCCTTTGAGAAGCACGGTAGGTTCCACATGGGTGCCGGAGCCTCTGGGAGTGATGCAGCGTGCAGTTAGGTCCGTCAGCATCCCTGACCCCCCCCAGCTAGGGCTGAAATACATAAAATATGGCATTTTTTATTCAAAAAATATTTGTCTGCTCTGTAACAGGCAGCATGCTAGGCAGTTAGGCCAGTAGGTTTAGATGTAGGTGCCATTAATAAAAATGATGATGTTAATTAACTCGAAAAGTGACTTTTTATTTGGGGTGGAGGGGATGGGAGAAGGGGGGAAGCAGGTTATAAAACAGTGTGTTTAAGATTGATCCTATTTTTTTTAAAAATTTATTTATTTTTGGCTGTGCCTTATCTTCACTGCTGCACACAGGCTTTCTCTGGTTTCAGTGAGGGGGCCACTCTTCCCTGCAGTGTGTGGCTTTCTCACTGCAGGGGCTTCTCGTCGTGGAGCACGGGCTCTGGACACACAGGCTTCAGTGGATGCAGGCTCGGTGGATGCAGGCTCGGTGGTTGCGGCTCGACGGCTCTGGAGCGCAGGCTTGGTAGTTGTGGTGCACGGGCTTCGTTGCCCTGCTGTGTGTGGGATCTTCCTAGAGTGGGAGTTGAACCTCTGTCCCTTGCATTGGCAGGTGGATTCCCATCTGCTGCGCCACCCGCGCAGTCCAAGATTGACCCTATTTTTAAAAGGTGTATATATACAAAACAAATTAGGAAAAGTCTGTTGTTGTTGTCAGTCGCTAAGTCATGTCCGACTCTTTGCGATATCATGGACTGCAGTACGCCAGGCTTCCCTGTCTTTCCCGGAGCTTACTCGGACTCATGTCCATTGAGTTGGTGATTCTATCCAGCCATCTGTCATCCCCTTCTCCTTCTGCTTTCAGTCTTTCTCAGCATCAGGGTCTTTTCCAGTGAGTTGGCTCTTCGTATCAGGTGGCCAAAGTATTGGAGCTTCAGCATCAGTCCTTCCAATGTATACTCGGGGTTGATTTCCTTTAGGTTTGACTGATTTGATTTTGTAGTCCAAGGGACTCTCAAGAGTCTTCTCAAACACCACAGTTTGAAAGCCTTAATTCTTTGGTGCTCAGCCTTCTTCATGGTCCAACTCTCACATCCATACATGACTACTGGAGAAACCATAGCTTTGACTTTATGGACCTTTGTCGGCAAAGGGATGTCTCTGCTTTTTAATATGCTGTCCACATTTGTCATGGTTTTTCTTCTAGGAAGCAGGTGCCTTTAAATTTCATGGCTGCAGTCACCATCTGCAGTGATTCTGGAGTCCAGGAGTCCCCTTTCCCCTCTTCTGTTTGCCTCAAAATGATGGGACCGGTTGCCATGATCATCTTAGGTTTTTGAATGTTGATTTTAAGCTTCGTTTTTCACTCTCCTCTTTCACCCTCATCAAGAGGCTCTTTAGTTCCTCTTTGCTTTCTGCCATTAGAGTGATATCATCTGCAAGTCTGGAAAGAGTCTAACAGTTTATGGTTGTTAGTTATGGTTTATAACTCTTGGCTCCAGTTATTTTTCAGAAACCACTCACTGTCTTTTGACAGCTTCTATTAAGAGGAGATAATAGTACCTAATTTATAGGGGGTTTTGGTAAAGAGTAAATTAGATTATACAATTAAAATAAGTTTTTAGTGAGTGCCAGCCATCTTGGGATCGTGGGACTATAAGTATTTAAATTACCTTCTGATTTTTAAGTGATCATGAATTACTTTTATAATCAGAAAAATCAGTAAGGTCATTTTAATTTCTCCTGCAAACCCAAACAATCTGATTTCTTTGAGGCAGTCAGGGATTTAAATTAGTACCTTAATAGGCTCAAATCTAGTAAGAAAATACTTAGGAGTTTTAAGCTTTGATTCTGACAGTTATTTACTGAGACTGCTGTGCTAAGTGCTAATATATTTATGTTTTACAAATAGCATTTTCATCACAGGGCTCACCGTCTTACCTGTCTCAGGAAAGAGAATCATTCTGTGTTTCCGAGCGCTGACTCTGGGAACCAGTCCGGAGTGGGTGGGGGGAGAGATTGAGAAGAGGCCGAGGCGGAGGGCTCTGTATGTTGGTAGATGAAAGGATGAGCACCTTTCTACCAGGGCTGCCCTGGGGGTGATGAGTGGGTCCAGACCCGCCCCCAGTTCAGTAGTGTAATTGACAGGCCTCATTGGAGGGGGCGGGGGCGGGGGCGGGGCTGGTGGTGGTAGAGACTGAGATGATTTTGAAGTTATGCTTGGGGAATGGCTAGGGTAGCTGTGCTTTAATAAATTAAAAGGCAGCAGGAGGAACACATTTGAGCCGGAAGCTTTTCTCATTCATCACTGGGAAAGCACTCATTTATTAGGCACAAGCAGCAAGAGAGACACAGCAGCGAAACTCCATTGAGTAGTTTATTCTCGTCTTTGAGTTCTCGCGGTCCTCTTCCTGGATCATTTTTTGTCCGGCAGGCACCAATTTATTAGATGTCACCAGTTTATAGATTAAATATGGATATATGGAGCAAGTTTTGTTGTTTAATGATATATAAAATGAGTTGGGTCATTGGTTCAATAAATATTGTATGTGAAGAGAATCTTTAGTTTGTGACCTGAAATTCTGCTTTGAACCTCTCTGGTGAAGACCTTGTGGTAGATTTGGGGTATGGCAGGACCTTAGATGTACAGGTGCGGTGTCATGGTTTGAGTATCACAGTGGACAGTGGCTCTGACTGCCATAGCAGGAAGAAAAAGAAACCTGGAAGTCTGCACATTCTCCTTGTGTGTCAGTGGAAGCCTAGACTTGTTATATTTCCTGCTCCAGCTGTGTGTTTTTAATGTGAGGTTCTTGAGGGCAGGGACTGTGTCTGTTCCCCACTGTGGCAATGGCTGGCACATAGTCGACACTCATATTTGTTGATGGAATGATTGAATGGCTCACTTAACTCTTCAGAACCTGGTTATCATTGTGTCTGGTCATGTCTTTCCTTTGGTCTGTGTCTTTGGAGAATCAGCATCATCTTTTCCCTAACTAAACAGATACCCACCAGAAGCCTGAATGTTCTTAATGCCTACTCATACTACTCACTTGTGAAGTCTTGTCACTTTTCTTTCAATGTATTTTTCCTCACTTCTGCTACCTCAGAGAGTCAGGCCTCTTGCACCATTTGCCTGGATTTCTCCAGTACTCTTTGAATTGGTCTCATTGCCTCCTGACCCCTTCGCTTTGCTTTCCACGTGGAAGCCAGAGAGGTGATCCAAACATATATCAAATAGGTCTTCCCCTGTCTAACACTTGTAGGCAGCTCCCCATTGACCTCAAGAATGTTCCAGCTCTTTAGCCTTTATGATCTGTGATTTTCTTGTTTCCCTACCCTCTTGCCATTTCCCAGTATATTTTCGTGCTCCCCAACCCTGCCATCTCAGCATTCTAAGTTCCTGCCAGTACTGTGCAGTCTGTAAACTCATCGTGTTCTCTTTCTCGCTTCTGCTTGGAACATCATCCATTCCTCTTCTGTTTGTCTTTTACCTGCCCTTTGGGAAGCAGTGTAGTTGTCTCAGCTGAGAAGCTTATCTGGTATACCTCCCCTCCCCTCCCCACTGTTCAGACTGGCTTATGTTCCCCACCTGGAGTTAGCCAAGCTGCAAGGTTTGAGGACACAGTCTTACTTAAGACTCCCCTGACTTCTGACACCAGCTGAAAATTTGTGGTTTCTCAGAACCATTCTCAGGTTTGATAATTTGCTAGAAGGACTCACAGAGCTCACTGAAGTCTGTTATACTCACAGTTATATAGGAAAAGATCTGGGTCAAATTAACCAAAGGGTAGAATCATTGGAGAAGACTCTTGAGAGTCCCTTGGACTGCAAGGAGATCCAACCAGTCCATCCTAAAGGAGATCAGTTCTGAGTGTTCATTGGAAGGACTGATGTTGAAGCTGAGACTCCAATACTTTGGCCACCTGATGCGAAGAGCTGACTCATTGGAAAAGACACTGATGCTGGGAGGGTTTCAGGGCAGGAGGAGAAGGGGACGACAGAGGATGAGATGGTTGGATGGCATCACTGACTCGATGGACATGAGTTTGGGTGAACTCCGGGAGTTGGTGATGGACAGGGAGGCCTGGTGTGCTGCGGTTCATGGGAGAGAGTTGGACACGACTGAGTGACTGAACTGAGAATCTTGGAAGGTTACACAATGGTAAAATATTGGAAGGTTACACAATACACAGTATTGTCAACCAGGGAACCGCACCCAAACATCAGTGTCCAGACTTTTTATTAGGCTTTCATCATGTAGATTTTGTTGATTGATTGCCTGAGCGGTTGAAGTCATTCTCTAGTCCCTGAGGTGTTTCTAGTGTGACTTGACCAGAGAGGTCCACCGAAAGTCACCTCGTGCATAGACTTAGCATAAACAGTCAGATGTGGTTGAGGGGCCACTGTGAATAACAGAGACACCCCTATCAGTTGGGAAATGCCACGGTTTTAGAGGTTCTTTCCCAGGAGCCAGGGGCAAAGGTCAGACTTCTCTTTGTGTAAGGCCAGATGCTTTACTACACGTTTCTTTCCTGAAGCACCTGCGTATCAGTAGTGTCTGTTTTCTTGTTGTTTGTCCCCCGCTGGTTGTAAACTCCTTGAGGGCAAATTGTGACAGGCTGTATAATGAAGTGGCCAGGAGCCAAGATCTTGGAGTCAGGATGCCTGGGATAAAACTCAGCTCTGCTGTGTACTGACTTGTGACCTTGGACACAGTTACAGGCTGCCCTGTACTTTAGTTTCCTCGTCTTCAAGATGGTGTGCATGATAATGCCTCTTTCACTTCTTTCAGAGGGCTGTTTGAGGGTTAAAAGTGATCTGTGAGATGGAGGATGAGCTATGGGCGTGCACAGACTGCTACACTCTGACAAAGCGATTGGGCTTTTCCAGGCATATACCCTGATTTCTCATGTTTGGAACTGAATAAATGCCAAAGCATGTGTGCATTTGGGTTTTTCCATTATAAAGACTTTGTTTTTCTTTCTCTCCTATTTCCTTCCACACAGTGGCCAGTTTGGCAAAGCCTGGAACATTTGCTGGCAATGATGCAATTGTAGCCTTTGCAAGAAATCATCAGTTGAATGTGGTGATTCATCAACTTAATGCCCCTTTGTGGCAGGTAGGTCATCTGTTGAGGAATTTATGTTAAGCCTTTATTTAAAAATTAGCTTTGGGGATATCCTAAGATAATGGGGCTTGACTGATGATATTGAACTATGCAGGGTAACTTGGACTGTGAACCTCAGCAAGCTTGTGGTGGCTTGGAATTAAACCCTGCATTACAAATGGAGTCTGAAGTAGGATTCAGAGACTTAAAATGTCAGAAATATTACTCAACAGTTAGTTACTTGGGTGATTTGGGGCAGAGAGCCTAATGTGGAAATAGCATAGATAATTTTGTAAAAATCTCTAAATGAGAATTCACAGGATTTGCATACAGATTCTAGTTTGAATATACCTGTCCCATGTGTATGTTTTTGTTTTTTAGATGGAGAGAAACAAAGACCAAATTGACTATAATAAACTGTTGCTAAAAAAGAACTTTTGAACAACAAAATTTCATGGCCTAGGGCGTCAAGCTCTATGTCTGTGCTCTCCCCAGCTATCCATAGCATTCTGATGATGTTTCTGCAGCAAGTAAGATTTCACAACAGGTGTTCAGTTTATGCTGTGGGATGGCAGAGCATGATGTTAAGCTGCTTAGTCCTCCCTTCCCCTCCTCATACCCCTTCGCCCTTACCTTTGTTATTCTAAATTACCTTTGGTGTCCTGAATTAACCTGATCTCCCAAACAGTCCATCAAGCCAAACATTCTGTAGCATGGAAGGTCAAAGGTTGGGATGAAAGTGTCCACAGACCACCTGTTGCTTGCCCTCCTTGCGCTTTTCGTCTTGTGGCTCAGCTACCAGACTCTGGTCGGGTGGTTCCTGTCAGACCTCCTCACGCCCCTTCTCTACTACTTCCCCATTTCTAGCTTTTTTTAAATTAGAAAGTAAAACATAATGATTATAGAATAATTTGAAAATTCAGAAAAGCCCAGAAAGACAAATAAAAATCACCTAGTCACACTCCCTAGAGATAATTGCTGTTAACATTTTAGCATGTATCCGTGTTATTCACACACACTCTTAAATATAAAAACATTCGTATGTAACTGGGAAGAGACATATCCCAGTGTCATATTTTAAGAACTGGTTCAGTGGTAAAGAATATGCCTGCAACGAGGGAGCTGCCGGAGACTCTGGTTCTATCCCTTGGTCGGGAAGATCCCTTGGAGGAGGAAGTGGCAGCGCACTCCAGTACTCTTGCCTGGGAGATCCCATGGACAGAGGAGCCTGATGGCTGCAGTCCATGGAGTTGGAAAGAGTCAGATGCGACTGAGCGACTGAGCATGCAAACACACATAGATGCATCCATATGTACACACCTACACACACTGTATATCCCCGTATATCATATCATTACAGAGGTAACATGACCTTTTTTTCCTCATTGTTTTCCTGTGTAAAGTGAAAGTTTTAGTTGCTCAGTCATGGCTGATTCTTTGGGACCCCATGGACTGTAGCCCATCAGGCTCCTCTGTCCAAGGGATTCTTCAGGCAAGAATAGTGGAGTGGGTTGCCATTTCCTTCTCCACGGACACTTCCCAACCCAGGGATCAAACCTGTGTCTCCTGCATTGCAGGCAGATTCTTTTTTGTCTGAGCCTCCAGGGAACCCCAGTTTCCTGCACATATATTCCTCTGTAAACTGCTTAATCCTTTGCTTAGCTTTTGTCAGTTACAGAGATATAATTTACATATGCCAAAATTCACCCTTCTTTGGTGTATAGTTTGTGTTTGGACAGTCATGTAAATGCTGCCACTACCTCAGTGCAGTGCAGTTCAGGTCAGTCGCTCAGTTGTGTCCGACTCTTTGCGACCCCATGAACCACAGCATGCCAGGCCTCCCTGCCAATCACCAACTCCTGGAGTTCACCCAAACTCATGTCCATTGAGTCAGTGATGCCATCCAATCATGTCTTCCTGTGTCTTCCCCTTCTCCTTCTGTCCTCAGTCTTTCCCAGCATCAGGGTCTTTTCAGATGCATCATCTCTTCGCATCAGGTGGCCCGAATATTGGAGTTTGAGCTTCAACATCAGTCCTTCCAGTGAACACCCAGAACTGATCTCCTTTAGGGTGGGCTGGTTGGATCTCCTTGCAGTCCAAGGGACTCTCAAGAGTCTTCAACACCACAGTTCAAAAGCATCAATTCTTTTGCTCTCAGATTTCTTTATAGTCCAACTCTCACATCCATACATGACTACTGGAAAAACCATAGCTTTGACTAGTCAGACCTTTGTTGACAAAGTAACATCTCTGCTTTTTAGTATGCTGTCTAGGTTGGTCATAATTTTCCTTCCAAGGAGTAAGCGTCTTTTAATTTCGTGGCTGCAATCACCCATTTGCAGTGATTTTGGAGCCCCCCAAAAGAAAGTCTGACACTGTTTCCCCATCTGTTTGCCATGAAGTGATGGGACCAGATGCCATGATCTTAGTTTTCTGAACATTGAGCTTTAAGCCAACTTTTTCACTCTTCTCTTTCACTTTCATCAAGAGGCTCTTTAGTTCTTCTTTGCTTTCTGCCTTAAGGGTGGTGTCATCTGCATATCTGAGGTCATTGATATTTCTCCCGGCAATCTTGATTCCAGCTTATACTTCTTCCAGCCTAGTGTTTCTCATGATGTACTCGGCATGTAAGTTAATAAGCTGGGTGACAATATACAGCCTTGATGTACTCCTTTTCCTATTTGGAACCAGTCTGTTATTCCATGTCCAGTTCTAACTGTTGCCTCCTGACCTGCATACAGGTTTCTCAAGAGGCAGGTCAGGTGGTCTGGTATTCCCATCTCTTGAAGAATTTTCCACAGTTTATTGTGATCCACACAGTCAAAGGCTTTTGCATAGTCAATAAAGCAGAGATAGATGTGTTTCTGGAACTCTCTTGCTTTTTTCGATGATCCAGTGGATGTTGGCAATTTGATCTTTGGTTCCTCTGCCTTTTCTGAAACCAGCTTGAACATATGGAAGTTCATGGTTCACATATTGCTGAAGCCTGACTTGGAGAATTTTGAGCATTACTTTACTAGCCTGTGAGATGAGTGCAATTGTGCGGTAGTCTGAGCATTCTTTGGCATTGCCTTTCTTTGGCATTGGAATGAAAACTGACCTTTTCCAGTCCTGTGGCCACTGCTGAGTTTTCTATATTTGCTGGCATATTGAGTGCAGCACTTCCATAGCATCATCTTTTAGGATTTGAAATAGCTCAACTGGAATTCCATCATCTCCATTAGCTTTGTTTGTAGTGATGCTTCCTAAGGCCCACTTGACTTCACATTCCAGGATGTTTGGCTACCTACATACAGACTATTTCCACTACCCCCAAAAGTTACCTCGTGCCTCTTTGTAGTCACTAGTCCCTTCTCCTCTTCCCCAGATTCTTGTAACCACTAATCTCATTTGTCTCTTGTAGTTTTGCCTTTGGGTTTTCCCTGGTAGCTCAGGTGGTAAAGAATCAGCCTGTAATTCAGGAGACCCTGGGTCGATTCCTGAGTCAGGAAGATCCCCTGGAGAAGGGACAGGCTGCCCACTCCAGTATTCTTGGGCTTCCCCGGTGGCTTGGACAGTAAAGAATCCACCTGCAATGCGGGCGTCCTGGGCTTGGTCCCTGGGTTAGGAAGGTCCGCTGGAGGAGGGCATTGCGGCCCACTCCAGTATTCTTGCCTGGAGAATCCCCAGGAGAGAGGAACCTGGTGGGCTGTAGTCCAGGGTGTCGCACAGCACAGGTTTGCCTTTTCAAAAGAATTGAAGTATGTCACTGTTTGTGTCTGGCATAATGTCCTTCTAACAGTCGCACTACAGCAGGATAAATTAGCTATTCCCCAGACGGGTGAGGACTCTTACTTTGCAGGGACACGGTGAGCCGGAGGAAACGAAATCTGCATGTGCTGTTTGTTCTCTGGGGTAGTGTCATCACGTGTCCTCCGAGGAGAGCTGTCATATGTTTACTGAGGCTCTCTCTTCCTCAGGATGTCTTTGAGGCAGGAAAACTGGTTACCTCCTTCACTGTCCCAGGTTTTGTCCTTAAATCTTTACTGCTTAGCGGAAGTCACCAAAATCATTTGAGTATACAGCATAATGCTCCTGCTCTTGAAGGAGGATACTCTGTGCCAGCTTAGTAACTAGCTTGCCTGTTTCTCCATCAGTAACTTTTTTACAGTTTCTTAATTTTCTAGGTAGTTGTGGAAGATATTCTTCATAGTTAGACTTTTTTTTTCCCTCAAATCCAGTTATTTCTCTAGTGTCCCCTTTTATGAATTGCTTAATATTCAAAGTATGTGTTCTCAAACTAAATACATTTTCTGTATACTGGAACTATCCACTAGGTTTCCCCCATCACCGCTTACCCCAGTGAAGCATCTTATAAAATTTGAGAGTTAAAACTGAATTGGTTGCTACTGTCAAGAGTAGGAGCTCTTAATAATGAGGAGGTTTATGCTCAGAGCCTGCTTTTTTTTTTTTTTTGGCTGCAGATGGAATATATGCTTCTGTAAACCATATAGACCTGTGTAAGGTAGAAAATGAAAGTCCTCTGTGATCTCCCTCGCCTTGAGCAGCACAGTTAACAATTTGGCAACTGGTGCTCAAGTTATTTTTTCCTCTGGATAATGCATACATAGTGTGTTATTATTTAAATATGTAAGTGCTGTAGGAATGATGTCACTCACAGATTCTAATTGGCTAATTTCCTTTCCAGTAGTCTTCCTGGGAGATGAGCAGTGCTCTCTCTATTTTGTATGTGTCAAAACCAGACTCTCTGCACTTTGAGACCTAGATCCTCTACCTGGGAAAACTTCTGTGATTCTGACTTCTAGACCTGTGTGGTTCCTGTTTGTTCCAAGGTTTTGCTATGTTTTTAGAACACAGATACTATTTAATAATAATTTCTTAACTGCCTATGACTTTGCGCAAAAATAAGGAGGTACTGATATTTGGGGGATTTAACAGACAGTCTCAGCTTTCTCAAGGACAGCGTGAGGATTATTGTAGAGTTTCTGTGGAGCTGGTGGTTTGGGGGAGTTGCCCAGGCTCCGTTTCAGGGAGTCTGTGTTGCATGACTGCCAGGAGCACTGTTCCGGTCGCGTTGTGCTCCAGGGGCACATTCACATAGACCACCTCATGAGCAGTACTTCTGAGGTGTGCAGTGCAGTGGTGCTGCTCAGCTGTACATGGTTTTGTTTTGAAATTGATATAGATAGGACATTTGTGTGTTTCTCAATATGTGTTTGATGAAAAATGCTGTTTTTGTTTTAAGGACAGGGTGGATTTTCTGTGAAGCCTAAGTATCAGTTCCTTCAATTTTATGGCCCCCTTCCAAGGTCTTGAGAGGGGTGATGGCAATTTTATATTTTTAATTTTATATTTTTTTTCCTCAAAGAGGGCCCCTAGTTGTCTGAGATGCAAGGCTCTCAAATCTGCATCTGCCTCTGGGCCTTCCTTCTTGAAAGGAACCTGAGCATTTGAGGGGCTGAGGTGTCCTGGTGCTCCTGAAACTTAGACTTACTTAACTTCATGGTAAATTTGCCCCTGGTTTTTGGACATGCCTTTTCAAATGGCTTTATTTCCATTTAGTTGCATATTAAGTACATGGAATCATACACACACGAGTGGGAGAAAGATAATTCAAAAATTGCTTAGGACTCATCACAGTGATGCTCCCAGTTGCTTTTATAGAGAGCCTGTTGACCGGGCATCCTGGGGAGGCAGGTGGCCTTTCTCTTCTGACGTGGACATTGTGCAGATCCTCGCTGGCATCTCCCCTCCCTCTGCCTGCAGATCCGCGGTACAGATAAAAGCAACGGGCGGGAGTTACACATCGCATACCGGTACGGTGAGCACTATGACAGCGTGCGCAGGATCAACGACAACTCAGAGGCGCCTGCACGCCTGCAGACGGAGGTGAGCGAGGCCGCCGCCGGCCTCGGTGCTCTCAGCCCTGCAGGGACCAGGTCGGGAGCTCCGTGCCCTGGAGCCAGAAGCCAGTCACCTTTTAAGAGAAAGTTGCCTTTAAGAATCTGTGGGCTTGTTTTTTTTTTTTTAACCTGTTCATTTGGGTGAGGGCAGCAGATAAAATTGTCATTCTTCTGCTTTCCCTCACAGCGATGGCTGTGATTGCATGAATATAATTTATATAAACATTTAAAATTACTTCCATGTTTTAAAATTAATTCATGCTTCATATCTAAAATTTGGAAACTATAGAAAAAGTAAAGAAGAAAATAAAACATACACAGAATCAACAGTTTTGTTACTGTTTTCATATTTGTATAGCTTTTACCCATTATTTCATATGTCTTTCCTCACATGATTGTACACTTTCTTTGTAATTAAAAAAATAAAGTGAAAGTCACTCTGTCACCCTTGTTTAACTCTCTGGTAAACAGTGGATGCAACTAGTGTTAGTATATCATAAAATTACCTAGAGATGCATACACATCAAACAATTATGTGGGTATGTGTGTGTGTTCTACTATTGCTAGAATACATTCTCCTTATCCACAATTGTAGCATCCTCTGCATAGTGTTCTGGACTGCACTTTTCAAATGGAATGTATCTCAGAGTAATTCACAGCAGGACATAAAAAACTTATGGCTCCATAGCTATTTAGTGTGTGGATGCATTATAATGTGCTTAAATAGGCCCTTCGATGGACTTTTAGATGGCTTTCAAACTTGGTTTTTACAAACAACATACAGTGCCTTATATGCATGTCTTTTCACACATGTGCGGGTGTATTTGTGGAATAAATTCCTAGAAGATTCTTACTATATCAGAGGATGTGTGCATTTATAACTTGGTAGGTATTGCCAAGTTGTTCTCTGTAGAAGTCTTACCAGTTTACACTCCCACTTGCAATGTGTCTCTTCTGTACCTTTGCCAGTGCAGTGTGTTACCAAGTTTTTAAATCTGTGTCAGTTAGGGGAAAAAATCTTAACATAGTTTTAATTTCTGTTTTTCTTATTAATGAGCTTATACATCTTTTCTTGTGTTTAAAACCTATTTGTCCTTTGTTGTGTGTGAACTGTATGCATGTTCTTTATTTTTTTTCTGATCAGTCGTCTTAGTGATTTTTGGGAAATCCTTTATGTACTAGGGAAATTAACCTCTATTTGTGGTATGAGTTGCAAAATTTTTTTCAGTCTGTTATCTGTCTTTTTATTCTCTCTCATATTGTCTTTGCTATGAAGGAATTTTAGATTTTTATGTGGTTAAATTTATCTCATTTTCAAGACATCGGGCAAATGTCTTCTGGGTTTTGGGTCATAATTAGGAAGTTCTTTCCCATTTTGAGTTTAAAAAGAATTCTCGCATAGTTTATTTTAGTACTTCTGTATGTTCATTTTTTGAAAGAAAATTAGGTCATGTCTCTAGTTGGTACTTATATTGATATACAGATATGAATGTATGGATTCAACTATATTTTTCTTTGTGGTTACTTACTTGAACCCAAACTGTTTATTTTTATAATTATACATCTTTTTCTCCATTGATTTAGCTTGCTGCTTTTTTCATATACTAAATTCCCATATGTAGTTGGGTCTATTTCTAGACATTGATTCTATTCCACTGTTTTTTTCTGTTCATATGTTCATGTGTTCATAATTAAGAAAGTATGTTTTAAAATCTAGTAGAATTTTTCACCCATCATTACTTTCTTTTTTTATGGTTGCATGTATATTTTTGCTTTTTTTGTTTTACGTATGAATGTTAGAATAAGTTTGTCTAGCTAAAAAGTCCTGGTAATATTTCCTTTTATTGTAATCTCATTAAATTAATAAACAAGGAAAAATTGGCATCTGTATGATGTTGAATCTTCTTAGCTGGGAACCTGATAAGCTTTTTATTTGTTTCATTGACTTTTTTTGGTTATCTGCAGGAGCATTTTTCTTTATATGGATCTTTCCCATTTTTTGCTGACTTTATTGTTAGATGTTTTATGTTTTCTGTTCCTCTTGTAAGGAAAGGGCCTTTTGTTTCCTTTACCTTTGTATTTATGAAATTTGATGACAGAATTTTAGTTATGTATATACCCAGCTATCCTACAGAGTTTTCTTTCTTTTTAGTTGAGGTGTAAAGTTCACATAACGTAAAATTCACCATTTTTAAGTGTACAATTCAGTGGCACTGAAAACACCCACAAAGCTGAGTAAACACTTCCTCCATCCAGTTCCAGATAACTTTCAGCACCCCAAAAGAAAGCCTGGAGCCGTTAAGCAGTTCCTGCCCGTTCCTTTTCAGCCCCAGCCACCACCAGTCTCCCTGCTGTCTCTGTGGATCTCCTTTCTCAGGACATTTTCTGTGAATGGAATCACATGGTGTGGCGTGTGGTGTCTGGCTTTCCTTAGCGGGTGTTCTTAGGTCCGTCCGCCTCACAGCGCGTGTTACCTTGTTCCCTTTCAGGGTTGAACAGGGCTCCATTTTATTGATGTGCCGCATTTTGTTTATCCTTTTATCTGTTGATGGTCATTGAGTGTTTCTATTCTTTGGCTGTTGAGAATAGTGCTGCTGTGATTATTTGGGTATAGTATTTGTTTGAGTACCTGTTCTCAATGTTTTGGGTGTATAGTTGACCTGTGAACAAGGGGTTGGGGTACCAGTGATGCACAGCTGAAAATCTGAGTGTAATTTATAGTTCACTTGCAAATCTGAGCTTCTGTATCTACAGTTCTGCATCCTTAGGTTTGACCAATCGTGAATTATGTAGTACTTCAGTATTTACTACTGGAAACGTCTGTATAAGTGGACCTGTGAAGTCCAGATCTGTCAACTGTATATAGGAGTGAAATTGCTGGGTTATGTGGTAATTCTGTCTGTAACTTTTTGAGAAACTACCACACTGATTTCCACAGCATGTAGCTGTACCATTTTGCTTTCCCGCCAGTGGTGTATTGAGGGCTTCACTTTCTCTCCATCCTCACCAGCACCTGTTATTTTTCCTTCTTTCTTTTTAAAATTACGGCCAACCTACAAGGTGTGAAGTGGCATCTTACAGCTTTGATTTTCACCCTGTAATGATTAGTGATGTTTGGCGTCTTTTCCTGTGCTTGTTTGCCATTTGTTTCTCTTTGAAGAGATGTCTGTTCAGGTCCTTTGCACCGGTTTTAATTGAGCTTTTTGTGATTTGGCTGTTGAGTTCTAAAAAGCTCTTTCTATATTCTGGGCCCTAGATTCTTATATGACTTTCCAGAATTCTTTTTGTTTGAAATAGTATTTTTTTGTTGTCTCTCTTTTTTTAAGGTGTAGAATTATCTGCAAATAATGATCACTTTTCTTCTTCCTTTTCAGTTTTATACTTAACAGTTTTTCTTTATTGGGGGGCTAATTGCGTTGCTATTCTCCAAGACATTGTTAAATAATCATGGTGGTAGTGAAAATCCTTGTTGTGTTCCTTACTTGAGTGGGAATGAAGCTCCGTTTGTGGGTAATTTAACTACACCCACACTAAGAAACCTGTAGTTGTTTCCAGTTATTCACCACCCTTCATGGCAGTGGGATGAGCACTTTTACATTAATCCTTTCTATCCGTGACATTATTCCTTTGGATAAATTTCAAAGAATCCTGATACACATAGCCAAACTATTAGGGTAAAATTTTAGAATAGGTTTTGCTTTTTATTACACATTCTAGGGAATATACTGCACATTGCTGGCTTCCACTTGTCCTTTTATAGGCAGAAAGCAAAAGTGTCCTTGCTTATGTTCCACTTGCTGCATTAATAGCAAGCAGAGGGAGAAAGTGATTGGAAGCCATGAACGGATGACTTTAGCTTTTCTGAAGTGGGCTTAGGTCATAAAGTCCTGTGGACACCAACTGAGCGGCTCTTGGTGGCTTTGGAATTGGGACTGCAGGTTCCCGTGAGTGTGGTGGTAGCATGGGACATTGGCGGAGTCCTGCTCACCTGTGATGATCTGGTGTGGACAGGAGCTCCAGCCCACGACAGCTTGCTGTTGAGACGATAGGGCCTAGGGAGCCAGGTGGGAGTCGTCTGTGTGTCTCTTCACGGTGAGTTGTTCCGCTGAGAAAGCTCACTGTGCTCGTGTAGAAGATTGATTGTTACTAGGTTCATAGCTCTGGAATCCAGCTGAGACAGGTGTGTGCTGTCCAAGTCAATAGTCATTGCCAAAATGTTGGTCTCTAATGCCATTTTTACTGAACAGTTTATCCCATATCTTGGGCCTTCTTGTAAAAAAAAAAAAATTATTTGCGCCAGGTCTTCATTGTGGCATGTGGGATGTTTGATTTTCACTGCGCCTTGCAGGATCTTCAGTTGTGGCTGTGGACGCTTGAGCTGTGGCATGGGGGATCTAGTTCCCTGACCAGGGGTCAGACCTGGGCCTGCTGCATTTAGATTGCGGGGTCTTAGCCCCAGGACCAATAGGGAAGTCCCTGGGCCTTTCTTCTTAGTACTTCAAGTTGTGGCCTGGAATCTCAGTGTGTGAGTGAAATTTAGCTTAGTGCTTGCTGTTCCTTTAAGATTGTTTTTGAATGTTTTTTCATATATTTGAATGTTTTGAGATGATAGAGTGTTTTCCTGTGTTCAGAATTCTGAAAATAGTTTGCTAGAGTTCCATGATTATCACTCTTTCTGTGTCTTTTAGTTTCAGATGCTTCATCAAGATGAATCAAATAAAAGAGAGAAAAGCAAGGCACAGGGAGTGGACTTTGAAGATGGCCTTCGAGATGCAGTGGAAGATGCTGTCCAGAAAGTTTGCGGTGCAACCGGCTGCTCCGTGAGTGCTCGTCGCGCGGCGGCCGTGGCTCAGCGGTGGCCCCCGGCCTTTATGGCACCAGGAAATGAATGGTTTCATGGAAGACAGTTTTTCCACAGATCAAGGGGGCCTGGGGGATGGTGGTTTTGGGATGATTCAAGGTCGTTACATTTACTGTGCACTTATTTCTAATCTAAGGCCACTGCCGATCTGATAGGAGGGACCAGTCCGTGGCCTGGAGGTTGGGGATCCCAGGTTTATAGACAGGCATTGTTGAAAACCCGTCTGTACAGGTTTAACTTTTTGAGAAACTGCCACACTGTTTTGTGGCCTCACTCTAGCGTGCCAACACCCAATGAACCAAAGTAGGCCCATGATATCTGTAGTTTGATTTAGTTATGTCGTGTAACTTACTGAGAGCTGTTTATTCATTTCTGTCTTGTTTTCTCCACTTTACCCAGTATTGTTCAAAATCCAAAGAAAGTATGTCTATTATTTTCTGACTAGTGCAGTTTTGTACGAATTCACTTTATTAAACGGTTATTTCAGGTGTTCACCTTACTGAGAATATTAAGACATTTTCTAAATGGAAAGTCTTGAAACCTTGCCTCAGTTACATCGTTTTGCGTGTCAAATTGTTGATGTAGAGATGGACAAGAAAGTACACCCAGATTCTGATGTGTTCCTTTGTTTCTTTCATAGGATTTTAATTTGATTGTTCAGAACCTAGAAGCTGAAAATTACAATATTGAATCTGCGATAATTGCCATGCTGCAGATGAACCAGGGGAGAAGAAATAGTAAGTCTGTGATTGATATTCTTAAGCTTTCAAGATGATTATGTTGGTGATTTTTCAAATATTTAATTTTAATAGTTTTATTAATAATTGGAGAATAATTGCCTTATAATGTTGGACTTGTTTCTGCCGCAGAGCAGCGTGCATAAACATAAGTACCCATACATCCTTCCCTTGTGGGGCCTCCCCCCAGTCCCAGCCCTCTAGGCCATAGGTCACCCTAGACCGCCGCTGGGCTCGCCACGCTCCATGGCAGGTCCGCGCTGGCCGTCCCCTCCACGCGGGGCGGCGTCTGTGCGTCACTGTTACTCTCCATGTGCCCCGCCCGCTCCTTTCCACAAGTCCTTCTCTAGGTCTGTGTCTCTGTTCCTACCCTGTAAATAGCTTCATCAGTGCCATTTTTTCTAGATTCCACGTATGTGCATTCATAGATGGTATCAAATTTTCATTGTTAATCAAGTGGCAGGTAGTTAACTGTCTTGTCATTTATTAATTTCGCAGTTGTTTATTGCGCGCCTTGTGTATGCAGGTGGTTTTCACTGGGTGCTAGCTCTGCATCAGGGAGTGTGTAGTCTGGTGGGGAGGGGCATGGTGGAGACTGGTAAGTAAATTGGCATAATCATATGTGATGAAGTTGGGGTACAGGGTGCTAGGGGATGCATGGGAACGCCACCTAGCCAGTTTTGGAGGCGTGGACAGTGTCAGGGAAGACTTATCCTTTTAGAAAGAAGATTCCATTATAATACCAAAATGATAACTGAAATGGAATGGAGAGAAACATTACCTTTGTAATGGAAATATTTACATTACTAGCATCAATGAACTGGTGATAATTCAGAATTTTTCTTTGCTTAAACTGAGTTTAATTCTGTGATTCAGAGGAAGGAAAAAAAATGTTAATATTTGTTTTTCCAAGTTATTTATTTTGAATGACTTCAGTACTCATTGCCGGACATTTTATGCCAGATACTGTTCCTGGCATTATATTAATAGTTTTCTGATTGGGTATTTTATTATCTTCCTTATATGTTTGTTGTACCTTCTTAGAAAGCTGATCCATGTGATTTTAAAGCAGCGCTATGTAGAGTCTGTGCTATTGCCTATGGTATATACTTGACAGGTGGCTAAGTGAGACTGAGGAACTAAATTTAAAATTTTATTTAACTTTATTTTTAATTTAAACAACCTCATGTGGCTAGTAGCCACTGTATTGGAGAGCACAGCTTTAGAGCTTATTTCCTTTCTGTTTTAGGGGTACAAATGAAAGATTTCCCCCTAAAAATTCATATTGAAAAGTGATTTAATCTGATAAAGCACTCAGTTGGTAGGAAGCTGATGAGAAGACTGGTCAACGGGTTATTTTAAAATTTATCTTCCAGATTTTGCCAATAATTTTTTTCTTATGTTCCCCACTGTATTGACTTGATACTAGAATTTTGCCTCAAGGAAACTTGCTCTCTGAATGACAGTGATATAGGGAGCCAGGTACTTTGAGTCTTTTAACACTTGGCACATTGTGTAACTATCTTAGGTTTTCAGTTTAACAAACTGTCTTTCTTTGGAAGATGCAGAGGAGAACCTTGAGCCCAGTGCTGGAGTGCTGACGCAGTGTGGTCCCTTATGGGAAGAAGGTGGCAGTGGCAGCAGACTCTTCGGGAATCAGGGTGTGAATGAAGGCAGGACTGAGAACAGTAAGGCGCGGGCCAGCCCTACTGAAGAAAACAAAGCAAATAAAAACCAGCTCCCAAAGGTAGGCCTGATGGGGTGGCCAGGGTAAATAAATGGTGAGGGAGGGAGGGAGGGAGGGAGGGAGCGAGGGAGGGAGGGAGGGAGGGAGCGAGGGAAGTCGGGCCTCTGTAATTTGGCAGCAGTGGCAGGAGCTTGGAGCTCGTGTTCGTATGAGATTTTATTTTATTTTTTAAAGTGGTTATTGTAGGAAATACGGGGAGTGCATGGAGGTATATCATGAAGCGAAATGAAGACCCCACTTGTCCTGTTTGGACTTCCAGTGACTCATGGAAGGAAGTATACTCTGAGTTCCTGCTCTGTACATAGATCGGCTCCTTCTCCTGCCTAATGTCACAGCGTGTGGCTTTCTTGGCTGATCATGTGATTGCATCCCATTTGTTATTAATGCCACCACCTTCAGTGAACACCTTGTGTGTAAATCTTTGTATTTGCATTATTTGCTTGGCTAGAGTCCCAGAAGAAGAATTAACAGGTTAAAGGGCATAGATAAGTGCATCTTTTTAAGATCTTCTGGTAAGTTGTCAGATGCTTCCAAGAAAGGTTGTGTTTCTCCCTTCCCATCTCAGCACTGGTATATGACACCGTGACTTCTACTGAATTTGGGACTTCTTCTTAAAGTTTTTACCAGGAAACTCTGAGCTCGGAATGTAAGGTAATGTAAAAAGTCACAGGTAGAGGCTAAGATGCAGTAAGCTTGTAAGGATTCTCTTAGGATTCCCTGGGGCATTACGCACAGAGAGGCCTTCTGTGGCATTTTTGAGCATTGTCTCCATCTGGCCTAGGGTTAATGTTTCTTTAGGTCATTTTGAATTACTTCATGAGGAGAATGGAATTGACTTTATCTGCGAGCCTAGCACAGGGGTGTACTCACGCGGCAGCCTCCTCTCTCAGGTCACAAACAAACAGAGGCGAGAAGAGCAGCGACTGGAGAGGAAGAAGCGACGGGAGGAGAGGCAGCGCCACAAGGCCCCGGAGGGCAGGGGCAGCCGCAGGCACAGCGGCAGGAGCGAGGCGGACGCCGGCGCCCAGGTCACCTTGGTGAAGACCTTCGCGGCTCTCAGCATCTGACTGGCCTCCTGGGAGCTGTCAGGAGCGAATGGAAAGTGGAGGGCTGTGTGCCAGGCTTTCCAGTGAGGCCGTCCTTTTACAGAACAAAGCTCAACTCACAGAAGCACTCACTGAGTTAGTCTCCTTCTAGCTGTCTCTTTTTTGTTCAGAGTTTTGTCCAGTGATATGTTTTATTTAATGAAAGTGCAGTGAAGCCATTCATGTTCTGTGATTAAAATATTGAGTTTTAGGGGTGGATAGTTAGGTTAAAAAAAAAAAAAACAGAAAAACTTTTTAAGTGTGGTTTTATTTGCCCTGAAAATTTAGAGTTTGGTGACCCTGGGATCTTTCCTTAACACTTGGGGTGAGTTTGCTGTAATTGGTCATGAAGTAGTTTAGATTAATCGCTAGAAATTCAGAGGACAAGTTTCCTTTGTTTCTGTTTCATTTTCAAACAGACATTAATTTGCAGGATAGTTTATAAATGATCTCCAACTCAGGTACATGTTTAGAATTAACTTTCTTCTACTCCAGGTTAATCAGAGAATAATTCAGGAAGTGTTTTTCCAAAGTAATGTGATAGGGAGGTTGTGGCCTGTATGCAGGGTGGCAGTTAAACAACGACGTTTCTCTTCCTGATCATGATGTTCAGATGGGTTTGCAGGTCCTGCTGGTTCATTTGTACTCAAGCCATATGATAAATAGGCCTGACTGTTAATTAGGCCTGGGCCTTGCTGGAAAATGGGTAGTGTTGCTGAGTGTTTGATACTTGTTTCTTGACGGTAAGAAGATGTGTGACTGCTTATGATAGAGTTCTGGGATTCTGAAAGCATGCAGTCCAGAATCTGTAGTTGTGAAGGGAAAGATCACCAGAGTCTGAGGTTTTGCACAGGAGGAGTCTGAAGAGTTCTTTTTGTTTTGTACGGGGAGAGTGTCTGGAAGACCTGCTGAGGTTTTTCATGTTCACATTTTAAGTGAGTTGAGCGTCTTTTCTTCCTTGCTATCCTAGATTTAGAGAGATTCCTTCAGAGGAAAAGTAACTTGAGCTGTTTCTTAGTTTCTTAGTATTGTGAAACGAAGTCCCATAAAATGCTGCACTTTCTTCTTTCTAGTTAAGCCCCGTTTGGGATTTTGCTCTTGGAAAAACTCTCCAGCCCCCTCTGGAAGTCATCAGGGACTTAGCGTAGACCAGCTGGGCTGAGAAAGCACTTGGGCTGAGGCCCTGCAGTGGCTCCACAGTGCTGAAATAGTCAGGTTTGGGCGGTGGGAGGCATCATCCCTCAAACAGTTAGATGGATGTGACCTTTAACCCTTGAAGTGGCCAATCTTGGACCGTTTTTGCCTTTTGAAGACCTAATATTTGGAGAAATAATATTTGCTGAACTGAAACGTAAGCTACTGGTTTTCTCCTCCATCTCAGATTTCAAGATGACAAGAGTTCCAAGGCAAAGGGAAGCCGATAAGAAGGTTTGACATGTGTAGACATAGCATTGTGAGGGCGGCCCTTGGATTTAGCAGGTTGTCTTTATCAGCAAGTAATTTGCTTTCTTTGGTTTTGATAATGTATTTTAATTTTTTGTTTGTTGGACTTTGGTAACTTTTTGTGGTTGGAGCCTCAGTAGTCTCTTGGAGGTGCTCCCAGGATGTCCTGGCACAGTACATCATAACACGTAGCAGGTTTAGAAACGGCATAGCAGTTTTTCTTTGCACACTGCAGAGTCCTGAGTTAGAGCTTTTGGCGCACAGGACAAGGAAGTCAGCCATCTCTGTTGCCTCGCCGACTCTAAGGGAGTGCGGTCCAGTGCTTTAGGCTCTGTTCTCCTGGGTTTCCACTGTGGCTGAGCATTTCTGAGTGAGTGAGCACTGTTTCTTGAATGTTTGTACTGTGAGGATTCAGGAGACCAGATCCTCTCACACAATGAAGATTGTGTTACCAGGAATCCAGCAGAATTAGGAGTCAGAAATAGTGGAAGGAGACCCATCGTCAGAAGTAGTTGGATTGCTTTATTTACAGGGTTAAAGAAGGTGGTCTTGGGCTTTATTGGGTTTTAGAAGTTGCTAAAGAATTACTATAGAATATTGGACACATTTATTTATGAATTACCGAATTCTGAGGATAAGCTTCACCTTTTCTTGGGTAAAGTAACTGGTTTTAAAAACTAATCTAGTGGCTTCAGTAGTTTTCTTATATTACTATTTCACAGTTTTCCAGTTATAATTGGCCTGTGTTGAGTATGTTAATTATTTGGGATGGGGTACATGTATCCAACTTTAGTGATATCTTCTAGCTAAGGGTTTAAATTTAAACTTCCCTGCCTCTGTCCCACCACAGTATGAGGTAGATGGAATCCATGTGGTAGTTGGTTGCCTTGATAGGCTCTGGAGAACCACGTTATTGGCAGCCAAGTGGGGGCCTGGCGTGTTTATTGGTCCTGGGATGACTGGTCAGTGGTGGTTACCTGGTGCAGTTACTCAAGTGCACTGCATGGTGAGAAGAGAAGTTTTCTTAACCTCTGTGGCTGTTTGATGTTTGTTCTGGGGGGTTATCTTGGTAGCTTTGGTCTGGAGAAAGGGGATGGGGTGGTGGTCCATAGCTGCTTACTTGTCTTATAAGCTGTACATAAAAGTTTTATGAATTTTTTTAAAAAAAGATTTTTTTAAGGTCAAAATAAGAAATGAAATTTTAGTGGCAACAGCTTTGTACTAGAGGTAGATGTATTAAAACAGCATAGAACCACAACTTCTAAATTAATATAGTTGCCACCAGGAGATGTTAGAGAGAAGTTGTGTATGTATATTTAATTTTTCAGTAATAGCATATGCGTTTTAGGAGTGAAGTCTGGTCAAAGAATTGTGGCAGAAAGAAGAGTCTGAAGGGTCGAGCTTGTCTGTAGTTCCCCCTATAAGCTCTGAACACACTTCCACACCCCGTGTGATTCTGAGGGCTCTGGGAGCTCTGCTGTGGGGCAGCTGGGGCCGGGCTTCGAGGGGGTGGTTTCTGACGCGCCGCCTCCTCACCCAGGGAGCTCTGCCGGTGGAAATGCCGAGGGGAGCGCCGTGCCCATGCTCCGGAGGCGGGGGTCAGGCAGGCTTGGCACAGGGCTGTGCTTGCCTCGCAGGGAGTCCTGTCGCCAGTGTGCAGTTTCTCTCATTCTGAGAAACTCTCTAGACTGCCTGGGTTTTACTGGGTCCACATGGAACGCTCTCGGTTTACCTCTGTGAGACGTTCAGCTCAGAGCGTGCAATCGGCTGAAGGAAAGTCGGATTCCTCGTCGGGGCTGACTCACGCTCTCCCTGGCCAGGAGGCTCGGTGTGGGCGGGGTGACAGCAGTGCTTCTTGGTTTTGGGGCCGTGGCCGTGGCCCTCTCTGACCCCCACTTGGGGTAGACGCGTAGCTCTTCACCTTTTTACCTCAAGGCTCTGTTTATCTATGGCAAACCTTTAGACTTAGAGTCTGATACAGTTTTTTTGTTTTGTTTGTTTGCTTGTTTTGACATTTTCATCATTCACTGTTTGGTTCATCTCAGCTTTCAGAACAGGCGTTGCTCAAACTCGGGGGCCTTCCAACGGTTGTTCTGAGGTGATTTGATAATGGCACTTTCTACAAGGTGTGTCTGTCTGACTCTAAAGCAAATTGTATGTTTCCACTGATGTTGTTAGGTTGAAGATCTCGATTTTAAATGATAGCAGATCTTCTGCCATCACCTACGAGAGAGGGGATGGGCAGTTGGTTTGCAGCAGAGACGCTGAGCAGCAGTCACGGAGTGCGTGCACAGTACTGAACCCAGAAGGTGCCCCCAGAACCCAGCCCCGGGCAGGAGCTGGGCCTGGTCACTGCCTGTCCCCCCATGTGTCCAGGGTAACATGCCCTGTGAAAACCTCAGGCTCTTACCCATTTCCTTTGAGGGATCACCTTCTAGAGTCCTGCTCTCGTAGTTCAGACTACTTTGTAACTCGATTAAAATGTTTAGCATCCTTGCAAAGTTACTTGAGAAGGAGCTGATACCAGTGAGGAATAATTTCTGTGAAAGCACGAACGTCTGTCTGGTGACCTCGGTGTAAGCAGGGCGTCCCCTGGTCCAGAGCAGCTTGTGCTCACGTGCCTCAGCGCTAGGCGGTCGTGACCGCTGGTGAAAGCTCAGCGGCCCGCCCTCCCCTTCCCATCTCGGCATCCACCGGGGCACCTTTGCCAGCCGTCCGTGATGGGAGTGTGAGTGTGGCCCCAGACCTCGGCCTGCACTCCGATCCCCGGCAGGTCCCTCGGCCACAGCGGAGGAGTGTGGCTGCGGGTTCCTCCCATGGTTCATCTTCGTGGGGGAAACGGCCCTCTGCCTCCCCGGAGCGACCCTTCCAGCCTCCACCCACGCTGAGCTCAGTCAGGAGAAGGGAAGAGCCAGGAGCCTGACGGCAAGCCTCTGTGCTCCTCGTGCTGACGGGAAGCGCTGGTGGGCGTTCGGCCCCTTTATGAGGGAGGGCAGGTGGGTCTGTGAACGCGGGAGCCCCTGTGTCAGCCGCCTTCTCCTTTTCTCCTGATTGCACTATACTTGCTCTCGCTGCAGGCCAGAGATACCCAAGACCTCCGTGGGGTCATGACCCAGAGACTGAGCAAGTCTCGCCTTATCCGTGGAGCTTGACAGGGAAACGTGACCATTGTCTGATGTCCATAGTTCATTTTTTCCTTCTTTCCTCGCGTTGTGTTACTCTGAACTGTTTTGGTTTTTATTTACCAAAGTACTGTACTTGGCTATTCGCAGTGTCTCCAGAACCAAATGTTTTCTTTTTTGTGTGTTTTTAATCTTCAAAACTTGGTGCAATAGAAGCTGCGGAGATGTGCCACTTTATCTACAAGATGGGGTTTTGTATACCAATAAATTCTGGTTTAAAGACAGAGCTTCCAGTTGTCTTTGTCACTGACCACCGTTTGCACGAGGCAGAGAGCCTGCCGGTCCTTCTCAGAGACTTTACAGGAAGCTGGGCCTGTTCCGCCCGTGGACAGTTGTTCAGGATCTCACTGAGCTCAAGCAGCTGGTTGCAGCTTCCGCCCGGGTGAGGGTGGCCGCGCACACTGGCCGGGCCCTCCTCCGCCCTGCTGGGTGTCTGAGAATGTCTCTCACAGTTAGCCGTTGTCTAGATAAAGAGCAGCTGTGTTTTGGCTGCCCCGAGGGCTTCTCCAGAACTCTGGGGCTGGGTTTGACCCCATTCCAGGAGGGATCGCCTTCCCCCAGACACACGTGGGTGGCAGTGACCGCACAGGCTTACCTGGAAGTGGTGCTTGGGAAGGGGCGGGGGCGGCGGCCACAGAGCGCCAGAGGGCCGGCCCCTGGGTGAGACTGTCGGGGCCAGTCCTGAGGTCGAGGTTGCCGCCGTCTTGCCAGCCGCACTGCGGCCTCGTGGTTTTGGCCTCTAGGTTCCCACCTGATCTTGTTCTGTGTGCTCGTCAAGCAGCCTGTGAATGGGCCCCACGGTACCTTGATGCCGAGAGGGGTCCGGTCCCACCCTGGGTGGATGGGGACTTCTCCAGCTGCTGGTGAGGCCGTCCCTTCCCTCCCTCCTGGTCACGGTCTTCCCCTTGTGATGTTTGCCTCGTTCCGTGACCCGCAGACCTTGGGGTGCACGGATGCTATCCAGTTCCTGAGCCTGCGAGGCCCAGACTCCGGACCCTGTTCACCCAGCTGAGAATCTCTCTGAGGTCTGCTAGGACCGGAATGCTGCCCCGGTGCAGGGTCTGTCCCCCCTCCCAGGTGGAGAACATCCGTGGCCTCCTTGGTACTGTTCCTCAGTGGTTCTGCTGGGGCCGGGGGCCGCCTGCTGGGCTGCGTGGTGGTCCTGGGGCTGCCTGCCTGGGTCTTGGTGACCTGTGAGGCCGGGTGAGTCTGCAAGGGCGGAAGTGTCCTCAGGCCTCAGAGGGGACAATTAAAGGAATATGGTATGTTGTTATAGGTTTTCCTCCAGGCCACAGCCTTGCTTACTCCGGGTGAGTGATAATTTATGGTCCCAGACTGAGATGCCATAAGGGGAAGTGGCTGTTCCCGTGTCCCCTCTTGGTAACTGGTCATGGTTGTCTAGGAGAAAGCAGGGTTGAAAAACCCAGGATTAAAGTTACCTTTTCCCCAGATGGGCAGAAAGTGCGTGTTCACCTTGAGATAGAACCAAAACTTGTCATAGATGCTCTGCTCCAGTATGGGTTTAGCTGGACTGCTGGACAGAGTGGGCACTCAGACCGTAGTGATGCAGTGATTTAGAACTTTCTGTGTTAAATAGGATCTAGACCAATCCTGCTGCTTCGTGGATTCTGGTTTGGCAGCAGAAAAACTTTTCTGTCTTGGAGAAACTTGTCTGAAATTCCCTAGGTAGAGGGACCTAGATACATCAAGATACTCAGCTTTCATTCAATTTATTCACCAATCCAAGCATCCAGAATTTCTCACTTACTGAACCTGTGCTGTGTTGGAATCTTTATTTCTGGGCAGTAAATCAGACATGGACCTTGTCCTCGAAAACCTTTCAGCTCAGCAGTGAAAGGGGACACATAACTATGACCCAAGAGAAGACAGGCCTTAACAGGAAGTACTGATAGGAGAAGGCTGTGCCTCAGAAACCAAGGAAGGCTCCGTGGAGGAAGTGTCACTTAGATGAGGCATGAAAAGGGAAGCAGGTGTAAATGGGGAGTGAGGTTTTTGGGACCAAAGGGCCAGCATAAGCAAACCCCTCGAGTGGGAGAGCGGGATTTCCCGTGTGTTAGGGACAGAGTTTGCCAAGGATGGACGGTTCATTTGGAGACAGACTAGGGACTCCTTTCTTCAAATGCTTGTCACACGTCGTTTGCCACCAGAAGACTATTGCTGCACTTGCTGAATGAATTCCAAACATCAGGCATTCCTGATCCCTCCTGACCACATCTTACGGTGTCCCAAGTCCGCCTTTGTGTACACTTCTGACCTTGGCACACATCACAGGTAGCGGCCCTCCAGGAAAACACTGTATACCTTCTCTCTAGCCAATTGCCAATTGCCTCATTGCCTCTGTAGGACATACGTTCAGGGCACAAAAGGTTAATGATTTCCAAACACATATCCATTGAAGATAAATCAGTGCCCCGAGTAGTGAGCCAAGGGGCTGTTCAAGTAAATTAGTAACAGTATTTATCATGTGTATGATGCCACGTCTGTAAAATCACCATGATCATGTATCTGTGGATTCAGTTGAACAGATGGATTCAGTAGGGGGGACAAAAATGCAAAGTGACCTAGCGCAGATGGAGCTCTCTGAGGCTCCAGGCACTTTGAGTAACTTGTCTCATTTAAACCTTAAAACCCCCAGTGAGGCTGATGGTCCCATCCCCATCTTACACAGGAGGGGATAAATGATGGGTCCAAGATCACAGATTTGAATTCAGGGCAGTCTGCACCATGTAGGAACCCAAAATGAGAGCCCAAGTAACTGGGGTACGTATCCCTGGGAAAGGTGAGAACACAATGCTTAGCCCTTCAGAGGAGGGCGAGATCTCCTCCAAGTGGAAAAACATGGAAGAGGTAGCATCTGAGATGTGCCTCTCGGCACGTGGATGTGAATGAGGCGATAAGGAGTCTGTGAAGAGGGAGGCTTCTAGGTTGAAGGAAGCTATTGCAGAACTGCAAAGGGAGGTGGGCCTGTCCTGGCAGTGGTGAGGAGCATAGAGAAGTACATGTGGCGGGGTAAAGGCCTGGAAAGGCTCACGAAACCAAGCTTGAATGCTAGGGGTCGGTGGATGATGGGGAGCCATAGATGGTTCAGGGCAGGAGAGTGATGTGATGGAAATCAAGCTCTGGGAAATGAAGCTGGTGTTGGTGGACGATTGAGAATGAAGGGCTGAGGAACATTTGGTTCTGAGAGCCCGCTTTTGCGTCCATTACAACACTCAACTAGGGTAGCATGGCTAGTGGCATCTGTCTGGAGGTTGGCCACATCAGACTTGTCTCTGTCTCCAGCATTCAGCGAGGGGCCAGGAGCATCGTTTGTGTGAAAGTGTATCGAGGGAAAGGATGAAATTTAATACGGTATTCAGTTCTCCAGCAGTCTCTCCAAAGACGACAAAGAACCCTAAGGAAGCAGACAAATGTCCATGAAATCATAATTGGACTTTTAACTCGGGAATTCCAATGTGATTTGACTTCTAACCACTTATTCAGCAAGTTATTTAATTGAACTCTTGGTTCATAGCTTATGCTAGGGGCTAGGTGGGAACAAAAGCAAAACTCATCCAAGTCCTGTCATCAAAATTGGAGAGGCAAGCTGTGAAACATTGAGGTAACAGAGCTTTCAGCCTTGATTTAGTCCCACGCCTCATTCATTCATTCACTCATTCAATGAACTGAGAAACAGCATTTTTTTTTTTTTATATAACAGTGCCTGGTGAATGCCAAGTGCTTGATAAATGTTAGGAATTGTTACTATGACTGTCATTCACTTACGGGATTCTTTATAAGGTGCTAGGCATTATTTTGTGTACATTCATACATGGTGATTTATTAAAACCTCGCGATAACCAGCCTGCCCGGGACATGTCATTGTTCCATTTGACAAGTGTGGAAGCCGGGGTGGTGGCCATCTATCGGTGCTTTTTGATTTCAGCGTGCATATGCACCACTTGGGGGTCTTGTGAACCAGCAGGTCTGGGATCAGGTCCACGATTCTGCATTTCTCACAAGCTTCCTGAGCAGTGAGTTCTTGAATGACACGCTGCTGCTACCTGGGAAAGCAGAAGGCTCTACCTGGAACCTGCAACAGCATCAAGTTCAGGGTTCTGCTTTCCTCTTTTCAGTCCTTTCCACCAAGTCTACAGCTGGAAATCAAGTGTGTGGACTATAGAGACGCACAAACAGGAGTTAGATGGAATCATTTACTCATTCACCAAACATTTATTGATTCCTGGGAAAACAGGCTGCACCCAGGCTTGCTTTCAAGCTCTAATTTTCACCCTGTCCGATGGTTAAACAACTGTCACGTCACCAGGTCCTTGCAGCCATGCATCACACCCAGAACACCACCTTGTCTTCATCTCTCCCGAGTCAGATCCTTCTTCTTGTGTTTCTCGTGTGTGCAACGGCACCACCATTCTGAGAGGTCTTTACGGACTTGTTATTTCTCAGCTTGTTTATTATTGAAAATATGAGAGGACTGATTTCACTAGCCCTGAAACACCCTTTGCCCCCCTGACAAAGGGAAATCCAGGTTTAAACCAAATTTGTTTCCTCCCGGCAGCTTGAACGAAATGGGCACCAGAGGGCGCCTCTGGACCACGCTTCCTAACAAACGCGGTCCTCTCTTCCCCACCCGTCCCTGTGGCACTTTAAGACCTCATCTCCTGGTGATTTTTCACCCAGGATTTGAGTCAGTCACAGCAGCAAAGCACACACATCTGCCCCTCTCTTGTTTGTTTGGCCGGCAGAGAACTTCTTCACCTTTTAAAATTTATGATGATCGTCCTTTCGATGGCTTCAGGCTCTTTCCTGCCCTCAAAGCCCTGAACGTTGTACACATGCCAAGAAATGGATTCCCTGAGCACTGTGAGCTTTGCCTGCGCAGTGCGTTTTTACATGCTTTATCTCACTGAATAGGCTCATCCCAACCCTGGGAGATTTTCTCAGCATATTACAGACAGTGGAGTGTCATGTCTGTATTTAGGAGTAGAATCTGCTGAAGCCTATTTCTTGCCAGGTAGGCTGCATTCCAATCTGATGGGAATCCTTTGGTGCATTAAATTGGCTCCAAAGTCAGCCTCAGGATGCTGGATGTAGGATGTAGACATCTTGCCTCTTCCCCTCCCCGTATCAGGAGCCGGGCCTGGCGTGGGTATCTTCACAGCTGACCTTCCCTGGGCACTCTGGGTTGTCCGTGATGACAAGCAGAGGGGCAGTGACTGATATCGACTCATGAAGAAGAAGGTCCACTGGCTTGGGAGTGAGGACACCCCTCCAGGTAGAACCTTCCCTCTCTGACCTCCTGGGTGCCCCTCTGCCAAAGGAGGGCTTTGAATAAGATGATTTGAGAGCCTCTTTTCACTCTAAGCCAGAATTCTAATGGGAGGGATTTGAAGCCTGATGACATGGCGGGGACAATATTTTTAGGTTGGTATTTTGCGTGCTTTTCACATTACGCCATATGGCCAGAAATATTCCTGCTAGAGACTGCCATTATTATCTCGGATAAGACGGTAAGACGTTAGAAAAAAAGAGAATCACAAAAACTCACTGTAACGGAAAATTGAAAGGACAGAGTATTGGAACTGCATGCAGGGGCCGCCCGAGCCAGACCCACGCCATGTCCTCGTGCTTAGCACGTTGCTGGATGCTCAAGAAACAGAGGAGTGAATGGAACCGGAGACTGATGAAGCCCTACGGCAGAATCCGAGGGCTGGTGTCAGAATCCTGGGCAAACATTATTCACATATTCAGAAGAGGGGACTGATAGCCCAGGGGATGGGTTGTAGAATCTTCTGGGTGTCCCAGGCCCCTTCCCCGGTATGAGGGCGCTGTGGCCAGGAGGCCAGGGATGGTCCAGGGCTGAGTCTGGGGCCTCTCAGGGAAGGATGGGCTTCCGGGAAAGGAGTTTTCCGGCAGGAGAGCCTTTGGTGCTAGCCCTCCGGAGGCCTCGGGCGGGAGGCAGAGCGCGCCCTTAGCAGGGCGGGGTGGGCCCGGTGCACAGCCTGTTAGGGTAATGGGCGTATTTGCGGTCGTAGGTGCCCAGGTTGCGGCGAAAGCAGAGCGCGGCCTTCTTGTCACACTCGCAGGTCCGTCGCTGGCAGCTGGTTCTGCCGGCTGGATGGGACGAGGGTAGTCAGGGCCCTGGAACCTTGGGCCCGCCACTCCCAGCCATGTGCAGGGGAGCGCACTGGGGTCCATGTTCTCCACCCGGAAGCCCATGCTCACCCGGGGGATGCTCCAGGGTTGGGTGAGAGAATGGGCAGGGTGCCGAGGCCCTGCTGGGGCCAGGGATGCTGGAAGCCTGGAGATTCGTCCTTGCTGTTCCTCCCTCTCCCAAACCCACTGCACTGCCCCAAGCCCCTTCCCCACGGGGAGGCCACCTGGTTCGCTGTCCCTTGTCCCAGCCCAGGGCGGGCTGTGTTTCTGGGCAACCCCTTCTCCCACGCAGTGGACGGTGCCGCCAGCCATCAGCCAGAGAGAAAACTAGTGAAAGGCAGCAGCTCGGTCCCGGGTGGCCTGGGCGTCCCCGGAGGGCCTGGAGCTGGGGCCTGCACCTGCCTCCCTCAGCGGGGATGGAGCCCCTTTTTCCAGCATTTATCTCAGGGCCCACACCCAGCCTGGGGAGTGGGGCTGACACTAGCTCTGTGGGCTCCAGGGGCCCCAAAGCCTCCTCTTGCCTCCACCGCCTCTGTCTGCCCTCAGGGGCTCCGGCTGCTTTTTGTCCCCGTGAGGACATCCCCCCGCTCAGACATGTCGGGCTTCCTCAGGGTCCTTCGCGAAGGTCAGCCTCATTTCCCCTCCAGGTTCTGCTCTCAGCTGCTCGTTCAGCAGAACTCAGATTTGTCGGGGGCTTAAGATCTATGTCAGCTCCCCTGGGGCTTCTTGCCAGGAGCTGGGCTAGCCTGGGCCAGGGGGAGGTAGGTCTCCCTTTTACAGTTGAAGAAACAGAAGCTTTTGAGGGTTTCTGTCCCTTGCCCAGAGTCACACGGTGGGGAGGGGACTCCCAGAACCTGTGTCCCTGTTCATCCGACCCCTACCTTCACTCACCCTCCAATGCTGTCCCTGACAGGCGGCTTCCCAGCCTCATATGAACTCCCAGTGACGGGGAGCTCATTACCTGACAAAGCCGCTTTGCTGAGTGGGTGGCGGTGGGAACAGGAAACTCGGAGCCCAGCCTGCCTCCGTGGCTCTGGTTTTGTCCCGCCCCACCCCCAGGACAGGCCCCAGAGATCTGAGTCTTCTTTGACCCTCCCACCCCCGCTGAGCTGTGCCCCACCGCCCTGGGCCTGCCCTCCGCCTTCCAGGCTGCTCCTGGCTTTGCGGCAGGAAGAAGAAGGTTTGCCTCTCCGATGTGAGTTCCCTCCATGGGGCTGGGCTGTGTGGAGCCCTTCGCTACACTCTGATTCGGGTCCAGCTGTTTCTCCAGGCCGGGAGCAGAGGAGAATGCTAACTGGTCCAAGTGGGCGTGGGGCCTGGCAAAGAGGCGCCTCGGTGCGGTGGGTCAGCCTTTGGGAGTGGGGTCTGTGGTCCCACGTCTGAGCTCCAGCCTCTGGGTCTGGGGCTCTGCCCTCGAGGCCCTGTCCTGGGGACCTGCCCCTAGCGGCCGCCCAGGCCCGGGGGAGGGCTGTCTGGGCGCAGCTCCTCTGGGGCGGGCTCAGCGCTGTCCCTCTGTTCCTCCCCTCAGAGGCTGGAGCTGGGGGGGCACCTCTGAATGGGAGGATGCTGGGCAGCAGCTGATGGGTCCCGGGCTCTCCAGCCTGGGTGCCACGGAAGCGTCTGGGTGCAGGGACACGCCTCTCCCTAATGCTGTGACGATGGAAGACCCGCCTCTCCTGCCCAGGTGACCAGGCTCAAGGGTCTCCATCAGGAGAGGGGTTCCTGGCGGAGTCCCTCCCCTCCCCCGGGGCCTGGGGGACCCCCAGGTCTGCTGACTCACCGCAGAAGATGCTGTGCCTGGTGGCGGAGAAGAGGTACCTCTCCATTTTGGGCTCGCAGCCCAGCTTCTCCAGGCGTCCGTAGCAGCAGTCATGGGCGTAGCAGCACCTGCGAAGGTCGAGCTCGGCCTGAAGGGGCCTGTGAGCCCAGCTGGGCTGGGCCAGGGGCCGCCTGGGGGGTTCAGGGCCCAGTGGGGCTCAGAAGGGAGGGGGGTCAAGCCTCAGCTTCCTAGGTGCCCCCAGCTCCCCCCAGGATGCTCCCCACCGGCTGGGCCGCCTGCTCACCAGTCTGTCTTGTCCACCGGCCAGCCGGAGCCACCGACGCCGCAGTAGCAGCCGTAGTCGTTGTACTGCAGCGCAGGCCTCCCGGTCACCCTCTCGATCATCACCCCGAACTGGACCAGGTTCCCGCCAGCCGGGGCCGCTGCGGGGACGGAGCGGGGAGGGCATCAGCTCCCTCGGGGCCCCACCCTCTGCGGCCAGCTGCAGGCCCCACACATCTGAGTGCAGGCATCTCTCTGATCGTCTCGGGAGCCTCCACCTCCCCGAGCACCTCACTCCCAATGAGAACAGTGCTCATCAGTAATACAACAGGGACGACAGGATGAGGTGCTTGGATGGCATCACAGACTCAATGGACAAACTGAATTGAGCAAACTCCAGGAGTTGGTGATGAGCAGGGAGGCCTGGTATGCTGCAGTCCACGGGGTCGCAGAGAGTCGGACACGACTGAACGACTGAGTGACTGACAACGCTAATCAGTAGCGACGTCCCTGTGATGTCTTTGCACCTTGATCTCCTGGTCCTCACCCGCACCGTGTCCCCACCTGACCTCCCACCCCCGCTTTCCTTCCACCGTCTCCCAGCACCCCCCCACTCATCCTCTAGGCTCCCATCCCGGTTTCCTGATCCTCTCCCCGGGTGTCAGCCCCCACCCCCGCCCCTCAGGAGCACCCTGTCCCCATCGAGTCCCATCAGATGTCGCTGGATAAGCTTCCTGACCACCCAGACTTCCCTGAGTTCCTCTGGGTCCCGCTGCTGCAGCCGTGGGGGCCCGCCCACCCAGGCAGGTTAAAGGCAAAAAACGGAAACTCAGGTGAGGGGTGGAGCGCAGGCGGGGGAGCTGTCTGGGCCCTGCCAGCCCTTCTCCCCTGCTCCGCCCTGCAGGCCATCCAGGCTGCAGCCATGCCCCCCGGCCCCCTCTCCACTAGCCAGTTCTTCCTGGGCCAGCACCGGCCTCAGGGTGACCGATGACACCCTCCCTGGGGCCTGGCTCAGGAGCCCCCAGGAGTGTTCCCAGCCGGGGCAGAGCAGCAGTGCAGGCGGGAAGGCCACTCACCCAGGAGGCACAGGAAGGTCAGAAGAGGGGGCCACTTCATCCCGGGGGGTGGGGAGGGGAGCAGGGGGCAGAGAAGCTGGACTTCGGGAGACACGGAAGCCAGCAGGGGCCCTCTGATCTCCAGGCACCTCCCCGATTAGTTAAATACCTGGGTCCTGTCCACTCCCCATCATTAACCCCTGAGCACCCAGTGATGCAACGATGCCTCCAGCTCTGACACTCTGGCCAAGTCCCCAGGGGAGGGGCCAGGCTGGGGCCCGCGGCTCTGCTTCCAGAGCCAAGTGGTGGGGCCAGCCTCTGGGCCTTCTCCTCCCCGCCCTTCCCATCACCACCCTCTTCCCCAGAATCCCTGCTCTGGCCCCCGCCACGGAGCTGGGAGCCTGGGCCGTGCCAGGGGCTTTTCCTTCACGGGGTCTTTTTCTCACCCTTGTTTTACTGACGCCGCTCCTGAGGCTCAGAGAGGCTGAACTCAGATGTCCTGGGAGCCCCAAGGGTGAGCCTGTCCCATGGCCACACCGCTGGTTACTTCAGCTTGGCTCTGACTCCCCGCCCTGCCCCTCAACCAGCCCCCATGGGACCCAGACCATGGGGGTAGCTTGGCTAAATGACAAGGCTCTGGGCACCTGGGGGCCCTGTGTCCAAGAACCTAGAGTCCAAAGGCTGGGAGCTGAGCCAGCTGGGCTCGGGGATTTATCTTTGTTGTTCTTTCTTAGGCGTGCTCCTGCTTGTTTGATGGGTAGCAAAAATCCTCCCGGTTGTGAACTCTGTCTCCCCGAAACCCTTGAGCAGTGGTGTAGCATGGCTCCCATAGAAACAGGCTCGGTCTGAGTCAGCTGGAAAACCCACATCCCAGCAGCGACTGGAAGCTTCTATCCTTTTGATGTCATCTTAGGGCCCGCACGGGGGAGACAGCAGCTTCCTCCTCTGGCTGGGCTCCGAGAGAGACTGCTGTCACTGGAGTCAGGACAGCTCATGGAGGCTGGGCTTCAGGGCGTGGCTGGAGGTCAGCAGGACAGAGGAGGGACCCGGCTCTGCTGTGATCAGAAATGTCAGGGTCCCATCGGCCCCCGACTCACCATGGCCTCGTTTGCTGGCTGGAGTCCACTCAGGCAGAACTGGATGCAAGATGCCGGGACCTGGCCTGCAACTTTCCCCTGCCTTCCGTGTTCCTGGTCTGCTGGGATAACCAGATCAGCTACTTCTGTCAACGTCCAGGGCCTGGGAGCTGCTTGGTCTGTGTCCCTGGAGTCCTGATTCCACCATTTGTTACGTTTCCTTGTGCAGAATCTCGGTTTTCCTGTCCCTATTATGGGGAAAGAAGCCATCTCCTTCATGGGAAAGGAGGAACGCTCGCAGCCAGCTCAGCAGCCCCCACACCAGTGTTTTCACTCTGTGGCAGGACCATGCCAAGCTCGTCTCCAGCAGGATCTCCAGGGACCTTCACACAGCCTCATGACTCAGTCTCAGTGATCATTCCCATTTTACAGAGGAGCAAACTGAGACACACGCCTAAGTAGCTGGTGAGCCAGAACGGGGGCCCAGACAGTTCAAAGGGCTTACAGGAGGCAATACCAACAGTAGGCAGGCTGCTGGGCACCCGTGATATCTTTGAAGAAAGTGAAAGTGTTAGTTGCTCAGTCCTGTCCAACTCCTTCGTGACCCCATGGACTGTAGCCTGCCAGCCTCCTCTGTCTATGGGATTCTCCAGGCAAGAATAATAGAATGCATTGCCATTTCCTTCTCCAGGGGCTCTTCCCATCCAGGGATTGAAGCCGACTTTCCTGCATTGCAGGCAGATTCTTTACCATCTGAACCACCAGGGAAAGAGGCCCTCAAAATCTTCTCTGTTCTTTAAAGTCAGAGTGACTATAATCTAGCTTGGGTTATATTTAGCTTCATACCGTTGTAGTCACAGCATTTGCTTTCCAATTTTTTTTTTTTTTTTTTTTTTTTTTTAATGAGGAGAGGGTCCATGACAGGGAGAGTGGCCAAGGGTCCATAGTAAAAATCATCCTGTAGCCTCGAGCTGAGCCACTGGCTGTAGGGCCTCTCCTTCGGGACCTGACTGGGTGTCTGGCTTCAGCATCCTTTCCAGGGGAGGAGGCTGGGCCTCAGCCTGCAGATGGGGAGGACTTTCAACTCGAATTCCCTGGCCGAACTCAATATTCCCTATCCCGTCAGGGATAGAGTCCCTGGGGAGGTGTCACCTTGGGGCGGGGTGGGGAGGGCTGGTGGCAGGGATCTCAGGCAGTGATCTGGGATTAAAGGTTTTCTGACCCTGGACAGTAAAGCTGGGTAAACTCTGACATACATTCTGCTTGGCCCTACTTCCGGCCCCTCCCATTTCCTGCTCAGGACTTCTGGAACCCTTTCCACTCCGGGCTGTGCTCACCCACTGGGAGCCGACTTGGGGGAAAAGGAGCCAGAGAGGCGAATCCCCTTGGACAGGGTCACCCAGCTGTGCTGAGTCACTGTCTCCAGGGGGAGGGGGCGTCCCCTTCTCACTTTTGCCTTTTGATTTTAACGAGGGCACTCCTGGCAGCCCTGGGCTCCTGGCCTGGGTCATTATATCCCAAACAGTGACTCACAGGGGAGCTACCTCCTAAATAACTGAAAATTAGCTTTGATTCCTGGGGAAGGGTTGACCCACAGCCCTTCCTCCAGCAGCATAAAGGGTGTTTCCCAGGAAGGAAGGGCCGGGTTTCTGAGACAGTCCCTTTATTGAGCCATTCTGAGTCCTGGCCCGGCCAGGATGGGGCCCCTGTGAACTCTGCCAGGGTGCACCTGTGGCAGAAACCTGAGGACTGTGGGGCCAGAGGCAGGCAGGGAAATCCAGGGAGACTTCCAGGAGGAGGTGTCCCCAGATGAGGTTTGAAGTAGGGAAGTTTGGGAGGAGAATGATAGGGATTCAGGAAATGTGGTTGGTTTTATGGTTTTCTCACTTGTAGCACAATGTGGTTGAAAGCTCTGGATCTCTGCCTCACCAAGACAGGGACTTGAGTGTCCACCTAAGCTCCACCACTTATGGACTGTGTGACCTTGGCCGGTTCCATCACCAGCTAAGCTCAGTTTCCTCATCTGTGTTGTTCAGTCAGCAAGTCATGTCCAACTCTTTCGTGACCCCATGGACTGCAGCACGCCAGGCTCCTCTGTTTTTCACTATCTTCCGGGGTTTGCTCAGAGTTTTCATGTCCACTGAGTCAGTGATACTATCTAACCATCCCATCCTCTGCTGCATCATCTCTAATGGGGAATAATTAGGCCTACTTTTCAGAGTTTGGGACCAGATGAAAAGGAAGTGAAATGTGGAAAGCTCTTAGCGGGGTGCCATGCCCACAGGAGGAATTCACAAACACTGGGTCCCTCCTTAACCTGCTCACAGAGGAGGCAGCTGCCGGCCCAGGAGCTCAAAGCCCTCATCCCCGCTGGAGGCCAGTGGGCAGCTGGGTCGGCTCTGCCTGGATTTCAGTGTGGTTATCGCCCCCACTTGCCAAATTCTAACTTACATGATGGAGAAACAGGAAACAGAGCCCTGTCTCTTGGCAACGGCGTCTTCCTCTTGGCGTAAAGCTGTCCCCGTAGTGAGAAGTCACCACCCTTCTCCTTCTCAATATCATCATCGTCATCCTCTTCACGATAAAAAAAAGGCAAAACAACCACCGTTTATTAAGTTCCAAGCACTTTGCGGAGAGCTCGTCATCTGTTCAATCTCATCACTTCCGGGCTTACCCCGGAGCCTGAAGGATCCTACAGCCTCTCCCAGCGGAGTGCAGTCCCCTTCATCTGAAAGAATTCATTGCTCTTCGGTCAATAAACTAGACTGAGGATCTTCTAGGTGCTGGGACTCCATGGGAGAGCAAAGCCAGACCCAGCCTCTGCCCCCGTGGAGCTGGCAGCCCAGCAGGGAGACTGTGTACTGAATGGAAACTTTCAAATAGGAATAAGTAGCCTGATCGAATGTTCCTTGGGTTTATGAGAGCATTTAGTGGGGATGTCTGATCTGGGCAGGGCTTCCCTGTGGAAGAAATGATTTAGCAGGGATCTCAAGATGTTAGTAAGGAAGTGGGGAGAGTTTAAATGGAAAGATAGTCTGTGCAAAGGTCCTGTGGTCTGAAGGACTTGGTGACTGGGAGGGGCTGAAAGGAGCCTGTGAAGTTGGGCTGGTGGTGCGTGGGTCTTGAAGGGCATGATTCACTGGGGAGCTGATCCCGGGACCGTGACCTCCAATTCACCTCACAGCCAGCCTTTGACTTGAGTCTGATAGAAAAGTGGCCTAGAGCTTGCCCGATGCAGGAGAGGGCCTGTGGTTCCCCATGAGAATAAGGCCCCTCACTGCAAGACCTCAGCCTGGAAAACCCCATGGACGGAGGAGCCTGCTGGGCTGCAAAGAGTGGGACACGACTGAGCAACTTCACTTTCTTTCTTTCTGAAAGACCCGGTGATATTTTCATCCCAACGAGGAGCCACCCTCCGGTGGGAACAGGCTTTGTACAACTGCCATCACAGAGTTGGCTCCTCCCATTTGTGTTGGAGGGTAAAGAACAAGAATCCTTGGCCTGGGCGTGTTGTCTATAAGGTCGCCAGGATCCTCGCAAAGCGGCTCTGCTGAGCCTTGCTGAGCTCTGTCCAGGGAACGGTGGAGTGCCAGGTTTGAAGGGTTTGAAATAAATGACTTGCTCATATGTTTGGACAAGATGACTCTGGCTGCTGAGAGGTGAATGAATGGGAGAGACAGCAGCAAGGAAGAGAAGCAGGCAGGAGAGTGGGGTACCGTGGACTCCAGGGCGGGCCCCCACTTCAGGGGATGGGGTGGGGGCAGGACACCTGGGGCAGCGCAGGTGGGTGGCGGAGCCGAGGAGGGAGGGTGATGAATGCGCCAGGCGCCACCACTTGATGGGCAGGTGCAGGGTCACAGGAGGGAGAGGAAGCCGAGAGTCTCCGCCCCGCCCCCCGCTGGTCCAAGGGAGAGGGGAGCAGGGACGCCCCCACAGGTACGGGCAGGGGCGCTGCGTAAGTTCCTGGGTGATGCTGGCGGTGGTCGGGGGTGTCTGTGCTTGGTGGTAGGGAGCCGGTGGGGACAT